GCTTCCCCAGGCACGCTACACTGAACCAATACATCACTCAGGCAGAGGCCTATTCTGTTGAGAAAGCATTTTCAGAGCCTGAAATAGTTGTAAACCCCACCCCACCCCACAAAAAAAAAAAAAAAAAAAAAAAAAAAAAATTCCAGGGTCACTAGCACCCCCTAGAGAGTGGCCAGGAGAACAGAAAAATGATTAAAGTCTCGGGTGCATCTCCAAATACAGCTCCACATGAACAGCAGCATCTCAGACCGGGTCTGGCTAACCTGGGAGGTGACAGCTGCCTGGCTTTCCTTCCCCTTCCTGGCTGTGTAAACCCACGCGCCATTGTTACTGTGACTGAGAAGGTTGGGCAACTTGGTGGATAAAAACTGGGAGTGGGAGTGAGATGTATTAACTTCTCTTACACAGGTCTGAAGGCCTGTGCCTTTCCTGAGCAAAATTACATTTACACCAACAGCATGGTAGGCATTGAAAGTGTAGTCTTTGGAGTTAGACTTCCTAGCTGGGTGTTCTGACTATACTCCTTAATTGGTTCTCTCATTTGGCAAATTGTTTGACTTTGATTTTCTCACAGTGTAATATGAGGATAATAATAGTAGTTAATTCGTAGAATTGCTTTAAGCTAAATAAAGTAATATATGTGAGGAGCTTAGAACAGTGCCCGACAAGTAGCGTGTACTCAGTATGTGTTATATTTGCTCTCTTTGCAGCAAATTACCAATGTCCTTGAGCAAGAAGCACTGACTTTCAAATCCACTTACCTAAGATTCTGTAAGTCACCTCTGATACAATTGCTTCCCAACTAGCACTCCTGTGGTTCTGAAGGCCTCCTTCCTTCTATGTCTTCCATCCCTAGAGACCCCTGAGGTTTAAAGTTATGTGTATCTTCTTTTCTTAGCAATCAATACCCATTACAAATAGCTCACGATGGCAGCTTTTCCTGGAGAAAGATGTTAATGGATTCTGCCCCGGCCACAAGACAGTCACTTCCCTACCTAACCTAACAGCTCCCGAGTCCCCTAAAAGCCTGACCTTCCATTAGAAAGTGATCAGGAAGCTTCCAATAAGCTCAGGAATCTAATCAATATTTCTCATTCCCCGATGATTAGTAGGGAGGCATCAACTGTCATCAACAGTTCACCACAAAGTCATATAAGTCAAGCAGGCTGTGGTTTTTCCTGGCATTTACTATCCCTTATGTGTCCCTGGGGAAAAAAGGGAGCCCTTCATGTTTCCATGGCAGCAGTGGTTAATTTTCTGGTCTTAAAAAAAAAGTAGATATACAGATAATATAAAGCAAAAAACAAACAAAACTCAAAACTAGACACCCATAAGTAGTTTTCAAAAGATGGAATCATTTTGGGCTATTGACAAATCAACTTTAAGAAGACTGGTCTTCAAAATGCAAGTGAGTCACATCTTTCTAATTTGAAATCTCCATTCAAAGCTTTCAGGTGCAGCCCAGCTCTCCTCTGTTTAGGAAGGAGTATGGTCCCTGTTTGTGTACTTCAACTCTCAACCCTGGCAGAGAAGAAAATGGTGTGTAGCAAAATTCCCCCAGACTTACAATTTTAATAACGAGAAACAGGAGTTTAGCAAATTTCTTAGTAAGTTTATTGAAAGTCACAATTCTGAGGGTCTAGGGTTGTCTGACAAAGGGATGAAATAATGGAATTTTCTAGCTCACAGATTTCGTTTACTAGACTGCCACCTAGTGGTCATTGTAGGAACTTAACCGATAGAAAGTCCTACCACACATTTGCATGCTAATAAGGGAAAGCTCATCTTTCTTTAGAATATGACTACCCAATTTTAGTGCAACCAATGCAGTTTTTAAAATTCCACAACCATCTATCAGGACAGAAGCTTTGAGAAAAAGGCAAAGTGGCTGTGTGGAGCTAGTTGATATGAGATGATAATTGATGCTTTATTAGAAATGCTGGTTTTGTTTTAGATCACCATCACTGTATTCCTGGCAGAAATGAAGTAAAAATATATTTGCTACTCCTTGACACAATAGCATATAGGTAATATATAGCAATAAATACAGGCTCTGATGTATTTTTCTGAGTATTTATTTATTTATTTATTCTTAAGAGTTTACTTGAGCAAAAATTAATTCGAATCAGGCAGTGCCAAACAGGAATTGGTCTGGAGCATAGAGAGAGACATTTTCCCTTTCTTCTGAGTGTTCTTTTATGACTTGCCTGAACTCCAACTGCAGAACCTTGCTCATCCTCTGCCCCCTGAAATACCCAGCTGGTGTCTCTGCTCAGGTTTTAATTCATATTTTTGTATTTCTTTTTCTTTTTCTTTTTTCCTATTGGTTACCCTGGATCTGCATGGCTCAGTAGCCAGTGATTAGAGCAAAGGTTTTGTTCAAATTCCCCGAGCTGGTAAAGCTTCTGCCATTGGCCATTAATCTGCATATATGTTGAGGAACACAGTCAAAATTCACTCAGCTTTCAGCTCTGTCTGTGATTTTACTCTCTGTGATGCTATGGGAGTGCTCATTCCTCCAAAGGTCTCTCTCCAGTCAGCAAGGGGGGTGTAGATAGCTGCTCAAACCATCCATTTTCTCTCTTTCCCAGGTCTCCCATCCCCATTCTGCATTGACCTGATCCTTTCCTCACTGTTGCTGAGACTTTGTTTCCTATAGGCACTTTTGTTGATTATTATTTGAATTCCTCCTCCTCAACCCAAACCCAGCTCACTGAATGTCACTACAATATGTAAATGCAAGACTAGATAAAAAGTCCTGGAAGGGGCAGTGTGTATATGGGCCCTGAAATTCCAGCTTCATTAAGTTCCAGATAAATCGCCTCTGCCAAAGGCAGAGAGCACATGACCCAGCTGCAGAGGATAGCAGGGACACCAGGGCACAGCATCCAGGGCTGCCAAAGGTTCAGTCTTAGTTAGGCAGAACCAGCATCAGGAAGAGTTCTCAAGCTGTGCATGGAGCAGGGCAGCAAGAATTTCATGGGACTAAAGTGGAAGACAGAGGTCTTTAGACTAAAGGTTGGGCAGGTCTGTCCATTCACAGTAGGAGACCTGTCAGCAATTGTGGGTTCAAAGGAAAGAATTCAAACTCCTGGAGGTGGCAAGGGCCAGAAATATTAAGACTATGAAATTATAACTAGCTCATAACCAGGGACAGAACTGGGCCTCCAAGGGAACCATTGGTAGGGAGAAGGTTCCTAATCTATAGACAGTATTGGAAGGAGAAGGTCCCTATGAACCAGAGAAGGTAGTGGCCACATTTGAAAGGAGTGCAGGTAACATCTCTAAGGGATAGGAAACAGTATGGGCACGCATGAGGAGCACTACCTAAAATGGTAAGATTCTTAACTACCAGAAGGCCCTGGGGTTATCTGAAGAGACGGAAGCAGATTAGAAGTCTATAGCTATTAGGCAGAAAGCAATGAGGCAGGAAGATTTTGGGAGTATCAGACACATTCATAATTGGAGGGAGAGAAGAAATTTGAAAAAAATCACTGGAAATGAATAGTTACGGAAATGTTGAGTCCAAGACAGAGGAAGTGAGTGGTGATGACAAGTTCTCTGGAAGAGCATTGGTAACAAGAACAAATCAAGAAGGCTACCCTTTTATAGGGGGAATAAGATGTCACCAAAATGTGTTCAGCAATGTATGTATTGTTCAGGTGAATATGAGTCTGTGACTGTCCCTTCATTTTGATTATGTAAATTGTCACCTTCTGCTTTAAGTACATATTTATCAATATTCTTTCTTAAAGGGATGCTTTTAAGTAGAGCACCAAATCCTTAATCAACTGCTTAGGTATAAAGTGCTGAGTCACTGCTGCCCGATCTGCACTCTTTTCTCTCATCAGCCAGTCAGCTTAGCAACAAAATCTCAGCAAGCACAACCAGCCTTCTTCCTTGATTTGCAGCTTTTATTTAATTGAATCATAAAATTTGCAGTTAGCACTTGAAAACTTTATTTCAAGGCATGAAAAAGAATTGGATGCAGCTTTAACAGCTAACCAAGAGAAAGTAGAGAGCACACTGAGAAGAACTGGTATGAGAAATAGCTGAAATCATTCCTAGGACAACTGAATCAACTGACAGAGAGGAGTGGAGACAGCACAGAAATCACACACTATGTGATCAGATCCATCTATTATAAGGATCTCACAAGCCCTTCATGGAAATTGTATTTCCTTCTGTGCGAGTAAATTTTTTGAACTTCTTATAACCCTCTGACTTCTCTGTCAGGTTCTAAGGAATTCTAAAGAATTAAGAATTTAAAAATTAAATTCTAGGAATTTAGAATTAATCAGGAACATCTCACGTCCTCCAATCCTGTCAGCAGAACTTTAAGGATTATTTTGCAATTAGGGTGACTGTTCTGTCTCCTTCATTAAAGGGAAATGAGTAAAACAGTCATCTCCCTTTTAATTAGCATTGGATTATTTGGCTTTCTGTGGGAGAGAATTTCACTTCACCCAGAATGAGTGGTAATCATGTCATGTTCAGATGAAGGTAAGTACTTTCATTCTCCCTAGGAACTAACCTTATACAAACTCTGTTTTGTTTTTGTTGTTGTTTTTTCGCTTCTTAGACTCAGGATTGTAATTTATTATCTTCAAGGTTTCGATTCCTTTTTAAGTAACTATACTAAAATTTTATAGGGAAATACCAGAGCAAGGAGACTGTTAATATTGGTAGTAAGCTAAAAAGGATTTGAAAAACTTTAATAAGTTTTGTAGCATATGTCTACACTAAAGGCTATGAATTCTATAGGCAAATATTACAGAAAGAAGTTATTTCTCTTCAATGTTTTCTGTCTGGATATAAAACATTTGAAAAACTACCAACATTTGTGAGGCGAATATTGAGGGAAGAGATCATGCATCTAGCAGCTTCAACTTAGACTTGCGCATCCATTTTGGATATCCAATTTCAAGCTCTAAATAGAAACATATGATTAAAAATAAGTTGTTTTGGTAAAATCTATAAGCATGTACTATTTCAGTTACTTATTCATATCTACTAATGGCAATAATCTTTCTGGATATTGCTGTAGTACATTTATCGACATTTCCCAGCTCTCCTGAGCCAGGGTTAATTAAGCAGTTATTGTAAAATGAATGAGCCTATCACAAAAGAAAGAAAACCACTTAGTTTTTCATTAGATGGAACCAGTTTGCTTGCACTAGGAGTGCCTCTCTTCACACTCCAGCATGAGACAAGTTCATCATTGTGAAGAGGTAGGGCAATTAGAAATATCCCTTCTTCACCATCCCAACAACAAAGATGTATTGGGCTGGATTTCTTATAAGGATGCTTTGAGGGGGGAAGCTTCGTATTAAACCAGTACACAGTAGACACTCAATAATAGTCAATGACTGGATGAAAGAAGGAAAGAAAACAAAAACTCTGAAATGCAGCCAAACAGTTCTAATTTTGTCTCCCTTTGATAATTTTGTCTCCCTTCACAATTTTGATAAATTTTCTAACACAGAGATACATTTTGTAACATACACAAAAGTGACCTTCTGCCTGAGATATAGTCATTTATTGATTCGGTAAGAGAAAACTTTGATAAACCAATCATGGGGGGAAAAAATCTTTACCACTAGACATGATACCATTTCTGTGATTGCCAGTACTATGATGTCCTTTAAAATACTTCATGAAAGCCCATGAGTTTGTATGCACTGGCCAAGAAAAGTTTGAGAAGAAAGTTTTGTTTTTGTCATTATTATTTTAAAACTCCGACACTTGAATTCTAGCTCCATCTTTTGGTCAGGTTGAAACTCTTAGATTAAAGTGTGCCCTGCTAGATTATTTTAGAAATGTTAGCACATCAGAAGAAACAATGTTAACCATCCTATTCTTTTTTATAAGAGCAGAGGATGTTCTTAGTCAGTCAATGAGCACAAAATGAAGCTAGCCTTTGGAAAATATAAAGGGGGGGGGGTGGGGAAAGTACTCCTGTCTTGGGAGCCTACCATGTTGGCATGTGGATTGGAATCTTCAAGGCCTCTTGGTTCTCTACTTGCAGGTTTCTATAATAAATAAATGTTGTGTCAGGAACTGCATCAGGTATTGTACATAAACACATGTGCACATGTGCACATATACACACAGATGACAGCTTCTTGATTCATGAAAAATCTAGAATAGTTTGTAAATCCCTATGGGATAAGGAGGGAAGAGACAATTCTGGTAAAGTGAAGTTTTATCAGAAACTATTTTTCCTTGTAAACCTTGTGAATCTCTCCAACAATATATTAATATTTGGTAATAGATTTGCAAACATTTCTCAAGATATTTCATTCAAAAAGTATATCAATTGAAATTCCAGTAAAACTAGCTTATAAAAAGGCCTGTCCTGATTGCATGTGCAGCATCTTCTTAGATCATCTTGTGTGATAGGCAGATTCTGTGGAAATACAAACAAAAAACTATCTTTTCTTTAATTTTTTAAAATTAATTTAATTTTATTTTTTTAAATATATATTTTATTGATTTTTTTTACGGAGAGGAAGAGAGAGGGATACAGAGTTAGAAACAATGATGAGAGAGAAACATTGATTAGCTGTCTCCTGCACACCCTCTACTGGGGATGTGCCCTCAACTAAGGTACATGCCCTTGACTGGAATTGAACCTGGGGCCTTTCAGTCTGCAGGCCAAGGCTCTATCCACTGAGCCAAATCAGTTTTGGCTTAAATTGATTTTAGAGAGATGAGGAGAGAGGGAGAGGGAGAAAGAGAAACATCCACGATGAGAGATAATCATCCATAGTCTGCCTCCTGCATGCCCCCTACTGAGGAATGAGCTGGAAATCTGACAGGAATTGAACTGTGACCTCCTGGTTCATGGGTTAATTCTCAACCACTGTACCACACTGGCCTGGCTGAAAACTGTCTTAATTGCATCCTTTTGGCTATGAATAAAAATGACATAACGATCATTGCTAATTTACAAGAAACATACAATTGAGAGTCTTGGTGCTTCAGCACCCTGTTCTCAGTAAGAAGCACCATACTATCTACCTTGAAGATAGAGATGTAGAAACAGCCACCAGCATTTTGGGTGATCTTAGAAAGCCTGTAATATTCTTTTGTGACTTAGTCTCTAATGCATGAGTGTGCTGATCTGGCTAATTTGTGTCTCTCTCGTCAAGACTGATCATGGAAAATACCTTCTCAGCCAGTGGAAAGTCCTCAGGCTGATCAAGGCTTCATTGGAAGCCATCATTGGATGTTGACCCTGAGAACCTGGGCCAGGACTAGGGTGAGGTGAGCGAGGCATTTATCTTGTCACAGGAGCAATATTTAAAAGAGACACACATACTCAGTAATTGTGATAATACTATAAAATGAATTTCCAAGATTTCATGATGAACACAATTCCAATACTGTAAATAAAGACCATCTCTGACTGCATACTCACATGAACCATTGTGCTCTTCCCGCCTGAATCCCAGCCCTACAGAGAACTAGAAAGTGGCTTATTTCTGCCTCAAATAAGACAGTTATATTATATTATTGGATCTTTTCAAGGAACCAATGAATGGTCAAGTGACATCAAAATTATTACTGCTGTGAAAAAACTGGCACAACTAACAGAAAGGAGGCAAGGGGCTATAGCAGTGCGATGCAGAGGGGATTGGAGAAATGGGTTAGAAGTCTCTCCAGCGACTCTGCAGCTCTTCTCTGGTGAAGGGAAATACTATGAACCTGCAATTGGTATTCAAGCCAGGATGACTCTGTTCCAAGCCCATGAAATAAATGTCCAGCCATTCCTGGAATACAGTCCTAGTAAATGTACAAATATTAAAATATATGGAAACAGACTTCTTCCTAGGTTGTTCTCTTGTGGTGAATGAGTATCAGATTTCAACTATAAAGCCAACTTACAAATGAAAAGGGTAGAAGCTTTTGTCTGTATTATGTTATGAGTAGCACTAGGCAAGCCTGTTAGCCTCTGAATCTTAGTATCTTCAATTGTCTGGGTGCCTGCAATTCCACAACCATTATATCCCTTTGGACCTTGAAGGTCTTTGCAGACCTTCAGAACTTACTAGGCTAATACACAGATGCCTGATGGAGGTTAACCCTCTAAAGTGCTCTCCTTTAACCCTGGCAGATGTTAATATAATTAGAAACGTGTTCCAGTGGAAATAGGACCTAGGAGAGGCATTGGTGCAGAGCCAGAGCTTAGCCAAGCCCCCTTGATGTAACAAGGAAAGTACAACAACGACTTTTCCCAAACCAGTTTTGCTGAGAGAATCATCTTGCTGGATACATAATATTATATATGTGATTTTATGATAAATACAACAAGTCTAAACCAAGCATTTGCATACACTTTCTTAGTTAAACCTCAAGGTAAACATACACATTGGCATCATTATCTGACTTTGTCTCAACGAAACCTTAGTATAGCCACAAAACATCATCACACAATATTTTCCACCCATTTGAATACACAATTAAGACTTGTTTATTTTTATCATCTGGGGTCACCACCGGTGTAATAAAAGCACAAGTGGATAAACATAAGAAACCATCATATAATCAGAGAAAGGTGATCTGTCTGTCCCTAAATACTTCAGTGAAGTTCAGAAGAAGCATTTCTGCTCCAGGCCATACATGTGTTCCTTGGTGTAGGGTGGGAGCAGGGTCTACATTATTGTGCAGAAAAAGCACAAGGGCATATGGGACATGCAGAAATATCAAAGCATTCAAAACCTCTGGAGCTGTGTAACCAGACCACTGTGAACCGCCAGACTCCCTGTTTTAAAATATTGGCACCATTATGTTTTCATTGGCATTTGCAACCCGCTGTGGTCAGTTGATAGTTCGTCTCAAAATTTAAGGTTTATACTCCCTTCTTGAAACAGTCCCATTGGGCAGTTTCATCAGGGTAATCTTATCAAGAATGCTTTATTCATTAATTACTTTTTAAAAGAAATGCCTTTATAGCTTCTTAAGCTGCACTCACAGTTGTGTGGGTTTTTGTTTGTTTGTTTGTTTTGTTTTGTTTTTTAGTGTGTGTGTGTGTGTGTGTGTGTGTGTGTGTGTCTTTAGTGGGCTAACTACATAGAAAATCATGGCTGTTGTTAAAGGCACTAAGCAAGCCACTACTTGTAGGGACTTCTGCAGGATTGGCAGTTCATTTTTTAGGTCTTCATATGTTACTAAGACTATATATTGCATATATATAAATTATATATTGCTAAATATATATTTCTGAAGTTTCAATAACCTTTTCCTTTATGTAAAATATACACAGAGATGCACAAGTACTAAGTGTAGAGATGGATGGCTTTTCATAAATGAATACCTCCGTGTAAGCAACCCCCACCCAGATCCAAAAGCAAAACTTTACCTCCTGCAATGAAGTCCCTCCCTTCTCTGTTGTAACTAGTTCCCCGATTTCTAATACCATAGGTTAGTGTTGCCAATTCTTGACCTTGGTATGAATTGAATCATGTAGCTTGCTTGTAGATTTGGTGTCTTGCTGAAGAGTATGTGAGATTTATGTTGTAGATATCAGTATGTCATCTATTATTCTTTATCATTAGTTTCCATTGTATGAATACGTAGCAATTTGTCTTACTGTGAGAACAGTATTGTAAGTGGCTTCCAATTCCACAGGACGCATTTCTGTTGGGTTTATGCCTATGGCAGGAACTGCTGGATCACAGGCCATTGTATGATCAACTTTAATACATAATATCGATTTTCCCCATTGTTTATACCATTTTCATTAGTTATGTTTGAGAGTTTTCATTGTCCATATCCACTAGTATTTGCTATTGTTGTCCTTAATTTACTTTTAATCAGTTCATGGAAAATACAATACAGATAAAACACACACAAATAGATTCAGGGCTTAATGAACCGTTGATGGTGAATATCCTTGTAATCACTGCATTTGTTGAGAAATAAAACTGTCATTTCGTTTCCTATCATTATGCTATCCCCTCTCCCTCCCCAAATTAGTCACTTTCCTGCCTTAAAATAATGAAATCTTCATTTCATGTCAGTATATTTTAGCCCAAATATTTATATCTCAACCGTACAACTTAGTCCTGTCATTTTTAAAAATTTTAATTTTTGTAAGAAAGAGATGCATGTATTTATGTGCATTCATCTTTTACCCATAAATATGATGTTAGATATAGGTTATTTGTTGTTGTTTTTATAGATATCTTTTATCAGGTTCAGTAAGTTACCTTATATTTTACTTAACTAAATTCTATCGGGAATATATATTACATCTTTTGAAAATGTTTTTCTTCATTTTCTTGAAATAATCATATGATTTTATAATCTTAGTCTGATAATACAGTGAATTAGCTTGAGTGATTTCTTAAATGTTAAATTTGACTAGTATTCCTGGGATTAATTCCAACTGGTCACAATGCATTTTCTTTTTTTATATATTATGAGATTTAATTGGTTAAAAACTAATAATAATTTATGCACCTATACTTATTAAAAGTATTGGCCAGTAGTTTTTTCAGTTGTAATAATTTTGTCTAGGTAACAGAAAAATACAGAGCTCACGAAATGAGTTGGAAAATAACTCTTTTCTCTCATTTTCTGGGAGAATTTATATGTAATTGGTATTATGTCATCATTAAATGTTTAGTAGAATTCACTAGTAAAGCTATATGGGCATAGAGTGTTCTTTGTGGAAAGGTTTTTACTACAAACTCAATTTCTTTATTACATGGATATAGGGCTATTCAAGTTATTTATTCATGAATAAGCTTGAGGATTTGTAACTTTCAAAAAGTTTGCTATCCCTTGACATGATCATATTGAAATGATGCTTTTTCATAATATTCTCTAATTATCAATTTAACAAGTGTATAATCTCCTGTGAGTCACCTTACTGATTTCTGAAAGTCTCTTATTATTTGTATCAGTCTGGTTGAAGGTTTATTAATTTATTAATCTTCTCTACAAAACAGCTTTGTGTTAATTGATTTTTCTCTGTTATCTATTTCATCGGTGACTAATCTAACATTTTATTTTTTCCTGTCCTCTGCTTACATTGAGTTTCATTTGTTTTACTTTTTCTTGTTTCTTAAAGTGAAAGCTGAGGTTGTTGACCTGATACCTTTTGTCTTTTCTAACATAAGAAACTACTGCTGTAAGTTTCCTTTAATTACTAATTTCAATGTTTCCAATAAGTTTTGATATGTTGTGATTCGTTTCCTTGTAACTTAAAATACTTCCTAATTTTTCTTTCAGTTTTTTTCTTTGACCCATGGATTCCTTGGAACTTGTTATCTACTTTTTAATTGGGGATTTTCCCAGTATCTTTCCATTACAGATTTTTAATATGATTTTATTTTAAGTACATATTTTATTTAACTTCAGTTCTTTTAAATGTACTAAGACATTTTCCCCTTAATGTGGATTATGCTTGTATTTTTCCACTAGTGGACAAATCAATATTGTATTAACCAATACAGTTTTCTCTGAAATAGTGTCCTGGTTTGCTTGGGTATTGCCATTCTCTCCCTCCCCATGTGTAGACTGAAGGCTTGGTATGAAACTGTTAAATTATTCTGCAACTTCTAACTGATTTAGATTTAGGGCTACTTCAACTTCAAACACACATTACTTAACTTTTTAAGTTAATCAACTACTGCAAATGAAGTGTTCTTACATGTAGGGGATGAATATCAGGTAAGATTGGCTCAGTCCTGGTTTGCAGCTCGTCACCAAAGTATCCTTTATTCTCCACTCCCAGTCTCTCCCGAGGTGGGCTGTCAAAAGGAAGTGGAACATTGATACAAGATAGGGAATACACCTGTGGTTAATATTAGATCAACAAGGAGATTTTTAAAAGATGGATACTCCTATTACAGCCTATAACAATTAAATAAGATGGAGAAACCAAAATTAGGATTTAAAAACAAAATAAATAAACAAACAAAAAACAACAACCCTGTAATTTCAATGTGCCATCAAGTTTGGGAATGACTGGGATAAACATTGGGATTAGAATTTGATATACGGCTACTCTTACTTGGTTTTTTATAAGAGGTGTCCATCAAGTACCCTCTATGGACACAAAGCCAATATATTCTCAACAAAGCCAATAATGGCCTTCTTCAACACAGAGGAAGACAGACATACCTCTGAATCTGCTTCAATTTAAAACAGATTAGGTAGCGAATCAAAAAAGCAATTCCTCCAATACCGATGATACCCAGGACAAGGACTACAACCAGGATGGAGATATCTAGAATGGTAAAAAACAAACAAACAAACAAACAAACAAACAGAACAACAACCGTGAGCTTCAACCAGGACTTAAACTTTAAGACAGTGGAATATTAACATTTAACTGAGCTGTTACAGACCAGTTCTCTATTCCTTAAAATACTTTGATTCCTTCTCCCCACAATTTTTAAATTTTAAAGGAAAAGGCTATAATATTATACAAATTACCATCTATGTTAGCAATGAACACTCCTTATTTTTAAGGGAACCACAATCAGCAGAAAAGTTTTGATTTTCAGTTATTATAAAGACTATAGAAAAAGCTTTTTTGAGTTATGGGCTCTTAGAAGACCGAATGAAAATTTAGAAGATACATTATTTCTAAAAACAATGGGAGTAAATTCAAATGTGAGTATTTAAACAAGTGAAAAAAATACCATATAAACACATGCAGAAACACAACATATATGTAATAGACTCAGAAAATAAGAGTCTATTACATATATGTATATATCACTAGCTATGCTTTTGATATATGCAGGATGGTATATTCTAGGATGCTCACTTGTAACATTTAAGGATTCTTCCCATTCCACAACTATCTCTTCTTCCTCACATTGGCACTGGAGCTCACTGCCATCCACCTGGAAGAGCAGTCAATCTTAATGTTACCAAATAACTGACATAAGCGTTGTTTTGTACTTCACTTAGTGTAATGCTAGCTAGTTCTACATCGCATGCACACACACACACACACACACACACACACGCACACACTTTTTATTGAGTAATTAAACTGTGTACTAAAATCAATTTTTTTAAAGAAATAAGCAAACAAAATACAAGAATCAACCACCTTTGAAGTTATTTGAGCAAGAGAATGATTCCAAAAAATTAAAACCAGGTAAACAAGATGGCTTGAGTTATCTTTCCAGAAGGCATCAATTGTATTAAAGGAACAGTCCCTGCTAAAGTTGAATATATCACAGCCAAGGAACAGACTCTAACTAGGCTTAATAATAATGAGGTAATATTAATGTGGTATAAAAGTTAGGGAACCATGCTTAGTTCATTAGAGTATTTTGCAATAGTTAAGAACATACATTCTTTCTGTGTTTAAATATCAACTTTTCCTTTCACATAAACCAAGTTTAATGTGTCCTCCATTTGTAAAAGCAGGCATAGAAATAGGACTCACCTTTTCAGTTGTTATGAAATTTAAAATTATATATATATAATATATATATATATGAATAGATATACATATATTAGTATATAGTATTTGAAAGAGTATTTATATATATAAATATTACTGATTAATTGGGCTTAGGAAGATGTTACCCACAAACATGACTGCTAGGCACTGCTATTATTGAATAGTATCGAGTAAAAATATATATAATGATTTGTTGTTGTTTTCAATAGTTTTAGACAAATGTTGACATGATGTACTGTATTTTTCGGACCATAAGACGCTCCGGACCATAAGACGCACCAGTTTTTAGAGAAGGGAAATGAAGAAAAAAAGATTCTGAAACAAATAGTGTCCTAAAATATTTTATGTGCATTAAAACCCAACATCACAGTCATAAACACATGTAATCAACCCTGTAAAGTAAACAGCAGCATTTAGAACCATTTTAGAGCGGGGCAAGCACACAGAGACCACACAGAGCCGGGCAAGTAAAAAAACTTTTTTTTTTAAAGTATATGTGTAGGCTATATTTGGACCATAAGATGCAGGGACTTTTCCCCCCCACTTCTGGGGGGGAAAAAGTGCGTCTTATGGTCCGAAAAATATGGTAATTTAACTATAAGCGATATTATGATGGATCCAACCTTAAACTTTAGGTGTCCATCTCTTGCTATAAATTCTGCCTCTTACTGAGTTTTCATTTTATACATTCCTCAGCTCAAGGACATTTTATATGCTTAAGTACTGGGTTTCTAGATTACCAGTCTAATAATAAAACATATACTTGCAATATTGGATATATATATAAATATATATATGGTTTGGCTCTTTGGATCAATTTTATTTATGTGAAAAACAGTTCCCAAATGTACACTTGATTTCAAGATCACTATACAAACATGTGCATGAATACATACACACATACACACACACACCTAGGAATAAGTCCTATGTAAATAAATGTCTGGTAAAACATTAATTTAAAAAGTATTCAAATCTTACAGCATTTTCATTGCACTGAAAAGAGCAATTAGTTGAATTGTAGAACTTCTCAAAATTCACACATTCACCATTGATGCACACCTAGAAATAAAATAACCAAGATACATTGGAATTACTTGTTCTTAGAATTTACATAATTTTTTTCTATTATAAATAATTGCAGGTAGAATCTTTTGTGAAATAAGAAATCCTCTATAAAGGTTTGATGGTCATCTCTACCTATAAAAAGCTATTATGCAAAGTGTCCCCTTAGGAGTTTGACTGGGAGACCAGGAGTTTGATCGCTCACTATGATGTGTGTTGACCAACAGGGGGCGGCGCAGAATATGGCAGGTGACCAGCAGTGGTGGTGGCAGGGCCCTGAGGGAGTGAGGGAAGGAGGAAGTGGGGAGGTGAGAAATCTGATTGGCTCTGATCACTGGCCAGGCCTGGGGACCATACCTGTGCATGAATTTCGTGTACTGGGCCTTTAGTTTGAAAATAATGTACTGTGCATTCACATACTGTTTACACAAACTTCTTAATTATTAAAATGTCTGCATCATTAATTCTTCAAACATTAATCTGCATGTGTTTTGGGGGTCATATCCAGAAAGTCATTGCCGAGACCATGTTAGTTAACTTTCCTCTAGGTGTGTTCCTCTAGGAGTTTTGGTGTTTCACCCCTGACATTTATGTGTTTAATTCATTTTGAGTTAATCTTTGTTCATAGCCCAAGGTAAGTGTCCAATTTCATCCTTTTGCATATGGATATCCGGTATTCACGACTTCATTTATAAAGAGACTGTACTTTACCCATGTATATTCTTGGTGCCTTTTTCAAAGGTTAGTTGACTATATATGCATAGATTGCATAGATTTGTTTCTCAGCTCTATTCTGTTCCATTGGTCTAGATGTCCATTTTATGCCACCATCATGTTGTGTAAATTACTATATAATTTGGAATAAGATGCTTCTAGCTGTGTTCTTTACTCAAAATCCCTTTGCTTATTTGGAATCTTTGTGGTTCATACAAATTTTAGAATTGTTTTCCTATTTCTGTGGAGAATACCATTGGGGTTTTGGTAGGAATTGCATGGAACCTGCAGATTATTTTGGGTAGTATGAGTATTATAACAGCATTAATTTATGGGCACAGCATATCTTTCAGTTTGTTTGTGTTTTCGATTTCTTTCATCAAAGTCACATTTTGCAGTGTATAGATTTCAACTCCTTAGTTAAAAAAATATTTTAAAGTATTTTATTGTTTTTGATGATATTGTAAGTGGGAGAATTTTCTTAATTTCTTTTTCAGATGGTTGTTTTTCATTTTTGTTGACTTCATGGTATGTAGGTAAGTATAAATGTCCTTCTCTTTCTATGAATTCTTCCTGTTATTGAGTTTTCATTTAAAAAATATATATATATATTATTGATTTTTTTCAGAGAGGAAGGGAGAGAGATAGAGAGATAGAAACAATGATCAGCTCTCTCTTGCATACCCCCTACTGGGGATGTGCCTGCAACTAAGGTTCATGCCCTTGACTGGAATCGAACCTGGGACCTTTCAGTCCACAGGCCGACGCTCTATCCACTGAGCGTCGGTTTGGGCTTGAGTTTTCATTTTATGCATTCCTCAACTCAAAAACATTTATTGTTATTATTTCTTTAATTATATTTTACCTCTATTATGTTTTATTTATCTAAGAATTCTTAGATCTCTCTCTTAGATCTGGATTAGATTTCTTAGAACTATTTTTCCTGTTTTCATTCATTTTTTTACTTTTTTGTTAATCTTCAATGGAAGATTTTCCCCCGTTGATATATATTTTTTCTTTTCTTTATTATTTTTTTTTTCAGAGAGAGTGGAAGGGAAGGGGAGAGACACAGAGAGAGAAACATAGATGTGAGAAACACATCTATTGTTTCCTCCTACATGCACCTGGACTAAGGCTCGGAATTAAACCTGCAACCCAGGTATGTGCCCTTGGCCAAAATCGAACCTGCAACTGTTTGGTCCATGGGCCGATACTCTAACCTCTGAACAAAAGCAACTAGAGCTATTTTAAAAAAAATTCTTTATCTTACTTTTCTGTGTTAAGAAGTTAAGCTTCTAATTTATGATTTTTTAAAAATATATTTTATTGATTTTTTACAGAGAGGAAGGGAGAGAGATACAGAGTAGAGAGTTAGAAACATCGATGAGAGTCTTTGATCAGCTGTCTCTTGCACGCCCCCTACTGGGAATGTGCCTGCAACCAAGGTACATGCCCTTGACCAGAATCGAACTCGGGACCTTTCAGTCCGCAGGCCAACGCTCTATCCACTGAGCCAAACCGGTTTCGGCTAATTTACAATTTTTATGTAGTACATATTTGATGGCTTGCTATCCAAATTACAAATAAACTAGCAGCCATGGTTTATTTTGTACTTTGAAGGTTGTACTTCTTAATTGCAAATTATAACATTTTAGGATTTAATATATTTTTAAATTGTATTAAGTATAAATTTAACTTTTTTCAAAAAGATTATATATATATATATATATATATATATATATATATATATATATTCTTCCCCCTCCCCCTTAGGGGACTGACATCTCTGGTTTCCACTATTCAATTATTTTATGTCTATTGTTGTTTGTCCTCTTTGCTTATTCTTATGGAATAGATTTTCAATATACAGTCATATGTCACTTCATGACAGAGATATGTACTGACAAATGTGTCATTAGGTGGTTGTGTCATTGTGCAAATATCATAGAGCGAATTTATACAAACCTAGATGGTATAGCCTTCTATGCAGCTAGGTTGCATGATATAGCCTATTGCTCTTAGGCTACAAACCTGTACAGAACACTGTAGATGATTATGACACAATGATATTTCTTTGTGTATCTAAACACAGAAAAGGTAAAGAAGTATTATATAAAAGATAAAATATGGTACACCTTAAGAGGACACACTTATCATGATTGGAGCTCGTAGGATGGAAGTTGTTCTGGCCAGTGAGTGAGTGGTGAGTGAAGGTGAAGGCCTAGTACATTAGTGTACACTAGTGTTGACCTTTGAAACACAGCCTCATGATTCCTTCTGCTTCCTTCCAGCAGTGTTAGAAAGAGAACATTGAAACGGTCAGTGCTGCTCCATGAACAGGGATGTGGGCTGGATTGGTGGAAAATATTGAGGGGAAACTAACTGGGAAAGGGATCGATCACCATAATAGTGGCAGGAGGGAGTGAAAGGTGACCTGAGGATAAGGATAAGTAAGAATAAGAAACTGAGATGGAGAGACAAAGGAATGTAGGAGATAAGCATGGCAATACAGTTTTGTCTGTTGGATGTTGGAGCAGTGGTCAGATTTTTGAACTTTGTAGTATTCATAAGAAAAGAGGGCATTTAACACAGAAAGGGTGTGGAACTGAGGACCCAATATTTTGACTTTTCAAATTTTTTTTGTTCTATTGACCCTACCTATCACAAAGGTCTCTGTTTGTCATAAACTAATGCATACAATAAAATTTATCTATGCTTTCCGTCATTGCAATGGAACATTTCCACAGTACAGAGACAGGCTACCACAGAAAGTTTTTTACAAAAGTGGCAATGGCACTTAATAGTTGTTAAAAGGGGAAGGGAGTGAGAAATGCTGATTGGTAGTTACAGTACTCTTTCACGAGGCTATAAAGTCAGGATAGGGAATATCTATATATATAAAAGCCTAAAAAGCAACCATTATAACTGAATGACTGGAACGAACGGAATGACTGAATGGCCAGCTGGTAGCTATGATGCACACTGACCCAGACCTTGCTACTGGGACCCTGACAGCCCCAAATCCAGTTCACCTGCACCCTGAGCCCAGACAGGAAGGAGGAGGGAGCCTGATTCCTTGCAGAATTGGCCATTGGTTAGCTTACTGCTGGGTTCCCAACAGCCCCAAATCTGGTCCACCTGCACCCTGGACCAGACAGGGTGAGTTGGCCCCAATCAGCTCAGATTGCCAGCCATGCCTATGGACTCCACCTGTGCACAAATTCATGTACTAGGCCTCTAGTAGTTAATAATATTGTAATAACTATGAATAGTGCCAGTTAAGTACTGGCAATATCAGGGGCACACTTTACAAAGTATATATGATTGTCTAACCACTATGTTATACACTTGAAACTAATATAAAGTAAAAATAACTACTAAGAGAAACTAACATTTTTTATGCATTTTAAATTCTATATGTCTAAAAATAGTATCTTATTAGAAGAATAAAATGAAAAATCCTGTTCCCAGTGTCTTTGTGATACCTCTACAGACTAGCATTTACCACACAAGGATTCTCTCATTAGGAATTGGTTGAGGAACTGGCTCATTTTGATATTTATTTAGTCGTTTTAATGGGAAACTATATAGTTAATTATTTGGTCTTTATTACGTTTGTGTTTTCTTTTTTAACTCCAATCCTTTTTTATATTCTGAGTTTTTGTTTTCTAATTCAGCTCTCTATTACATTACATGAAGGGAATGTTTGTGGATTTTTGCATAGCGAAGGGAAGCCATACCACAGAAAGTACTCAATTTCAAAAGAGCTAATTTAAAAAAATAAATTCTTATATGCTTTTAATACATGCTTGTGTTTATAAACCTGGGTGAGTTGGTAGTTGTTTTTAGTATGCATTCTTAAGTTTTAACTTGCAGTCATAAGCCCTTTCGAATCTGGCCTCATTCTACCTGTGCAATTTAATTTTATTCCAATTCATCCAAAGCCACACTGAAATGATCAGTTATCTGATCATGCCATAAACATTATGTAGGTAGGTATCTATTCATAAAAAGTCGTTGCTCATTTTCTGTGTGTTGGAAAATGTTGTTCATCAAGTCAAAGCTGAAATGTCACTCATTGTAAGATGTCATTCCATGTTCTATAAGGAAAGTGGGTCCTTGGGCCTCAAATGTCCATTGGTCACACCGCTTTGAAAGCCCTTGGGTATGGTAGTAATAACATAGTACGCTCCTCTTTGTATCATCTGAGTCCAGCACAGTCACTGGCACCAGAGTATGTGCCCAGTAAATATGGCCCAATGAATAAAATAAATGAAAAATGTATGGCTGCTTCAAATCCAAATTAATTTAAAAATTATGTCTATAATTTTATTCAATTTCTCTGTAAGGTATGAATTAAGCACATTTATAATATTTACATATCATTTGGTATAATAAAGCTGAAATAAAATGAATATTTGTGAAAATGTCATTGCTACTCTGCTCAATATAAAAATTACCAATTTTTCCCTCTGCTTTCTCTTATAGAATCCAAAGATGTTTTATAGTGGCTGAACCAAGAAGACTTAATCAAACGAAGAGTTTTCATCTTACCATTTCATCTCCACATTTTGTTCCAGGAGCAACCAGCCCCAAATCTCTAAGATTGTGGTAATAATAAAAGGTTTTGCAGTCTGCGGTGATATTCTGCTTTGGAGCCTTCATATGATAGATCTTTTCTTCTCCGAGGAAAGATGAGTGTTGCCCTCCGGTGCAGAATATCTTTCCACATTTGATATCTCTGGAGGAAAGAGACAGTATTCTCAGTCTTGGGACCAGAATAGAACTTCGGACACTAAGCTTGCCCTGAGGTGGCCTGGTCCCTGCTTTCTAGGCCCTGGCTTGCCAGCCAGTTGTGGAAGGGCCAGGAGCAGGGTAGGCTGTGGTGTAGTCCAGTCCTGACCCAGGGAACTGAGATGAATAGGCAAAGATATAAATTGATCATATTTCTTTCTGATATCTTTGTGGCTCTCACACATCTATATTAGCTTAAGCTTACAGAAGAGTATTTTTTTAAAATATATTTTATTGATTTTTTACAGAGAGGAAGGCAGAGGAATAGAGAGTTAGAAACATCAATGAGAAAGAGAAACATTGATAAGTTGCATCCTTCACACCTCATACTGGGTATTTGCCTGCAACCAAGGTTACATACCCTTGACCAGAATCGAACCTGGGACCCTTCAGTCCACAGGCCGACGCTCTATCCACTGAGCTGAACCACTGAGTTAGGGCCAGAAGAATATTTTAATTAGTAATTTGAATTAACATAACTTGAATCAGGAGGCTAATATTTCTTTCTTATTCTCCCTTGCATAGAGCACAATAAACCCATGATATGTGATTATTATAATCTCCGTTTTGAGGATTAGGAAGTAATTGGAAGTAAAGGAAGTTCAATAACTGTCCATTTTCACCTGATGTTGTTTTCAGGCCAAATCCTGTTCCATGGTATGCAAAGCCCTGCCAAGTATCACCAACAAGCACAGACTATGCTCATGCTCTTAAAAATCAGATCTAATTTCTAACTCTTCCATTTTTCTTTCAATGTCAGCTTCTACTTTCCTTGTTAGGACTTCATTCTTTCCTTCTCTCTTCCTCCTTTTACCTTTTCTACTTACTTTCCTCTTTCTCCTAGTTGCTCCTTTCTCTTTTTTTATTCCTCCTTTTCCCTCTGAAGAATATAACATCTTTCCTATCTTCCCTCCTTATAGTCTGTGACTTCCAGCAAATACATACAGCACATACATGTCAGCTGACACTGTCAGGGATGCATGCTCCCTCTTTCCACTTCCCTCATCCCAGTCACCGCTGCAAAAAGAAGTTAACAGCTGCCAGAACAAGAGCCGCTCTGATCTGCCAAAAGCCTCTCGGAGGCACTAATTCTTCTTCCCAAGGCACTTACTTGTCTTCACAGGGAATTAATTTGCTTTTCTGGCTTTTGCAGTATCCAAATTTATCTCCCTTTTTATTCATGATGTAGCAGAGATCAGGACTTCCTTTTGCTTCTGGAATGCAAAATGATGTATAAAAGTAAAACAATGAAAGCACGAATATTGTTAATTATAAAATACTTTATTTTTTCTGATGTAATTGACATTTCAATATTATGTGATGGTGAAGCAGAATGGAATAAATAAGTAATTTAAAGATTATTCTATTCCCTCAGGATGATACTTAATATGGATATAAAAAGTAATAAACAGACCTTAACCCACATACTGATGATACAGTCAATTAATATTAGAGGTAATATCAATTAATATTAAAGATAGTATATGAAGAGGTGCTAGATAATATCTTTAAAAAATTCCACACATGGCATTATTTCCCATCTTCCCCCCTGTATAGAGCAATAGCAGAGGAATAGTGGCTATTAGCATTATCAGTACCCACTGTAAGGTCTCACCATGATCAAACAGTTCGGAGCACTGGTCGTCCCGGGTGGGACATCTCCCCATGAAGCAGTAGCCTTTTGCATTCTTGCAAGGAGTTCCATTTGGATGGAATTGGTCCTTGGGACACCCAGAGGAGTGGCCTGTACACGCTTCAGGATAATCACATTCATCTTTTGCTGGTCTGCATACTGACCCAGCTTTTTTCATCTGTGGAAGAAAAACAAACTGATTAAATCTTCGACACATTTAGTTAGGTAAGGTTCAGTAAGTAGGAGGAAGGTTGATCGGTTTATCTCGAAAAGTTTTTAGGACTGAATCATACCTTCCTTTTCCATTCCAGGGAGAGTTATCATTTGTAAAAGCTTTGGCTTTGATTAATTTAAGCAATGCCAAGTTGGTGTTTTTTGAAATTCGGTATTAGAACAGCATTGGGCAGAGTTGGGAGGGGCATGAATTGAGAAAAAATGAATAAATGTTCTGTTCATCTTGTCTTCTTCAATCTTTGCCCCTGAACTTCTCCTCTCCCCCAACTACTACCATCACACACACACACACACACACACACACACACACACACACACACACACACCTGGAAGCCCCTGCCTATGAGGAGGAATCTCCATTCCCAAGAAATCAGATGTCTCCCATAAAGTAGAACCAACCCCTGACTCTCATAGGAGGGCACTTCGTGGACATATTCTCTCATTCAGCCATTCAATCTGCATTTAATTGTGTGAGTTTTGAAACTATTTCAAGATGACTAAGATATGCTTCCCTTGTGATTTCACAATCCAGTTGGGTAAAAGAAGTGTCAATAAATGCTTGCACAGAGTCATTGGGATTTCTGGTCATCTTGCCTAGAAACACATCTCCAATTCCAGCATAATCCTTTCCCCTCTTTCTTCACTCTTGTTGGGATGCCAATCCACACCTCTGCCCCAACCTGAGGTTGAATGGTTTGGTAATTATTTACAAAGAAGCAAGAGTATCGTTAGCCATGTAACTCCATTTCTGAAACACCAAGCACTGTATACCCACTTCTCCATTTCCTAGACCAAAACACTGTGCAGTGCTTAGAAGTCAGAGCACCTCAGGAGAGTGCTATTGTGTACAAGCAAGCTGAGCCCCAGTCTGGGATTAGTGGCATAGGATTTTAATGGCCAGACAGCACTTTGGTCCTCTGCTCACTTAATCAACCAAAGACAGAGAAATCTGGTGCTAACAAAGGGTCTTACTTGACAAGATTCACAGCATTCTCCTTCCGCACAAGTAAATCCTGGCTTCAGCAGACATTTGTCGGCATCGCAGCAGGGATTAGTGCACTCCTGGCAATAACCAAAAATTAAAATCAGGAATTGGATTGCAGTTTGTCTCCTGTTTGAAGCGTTAATTAGCTGTGCTTCTGGGTAATTTAGCATCACTTGTTTGTCAGAGTTAAGTTACAAAGGCCTGGTCCTTAGCTATGACAGCTATACAAGGTGGCGCAGAAGTATTGATAGGTTTACAGTAATGCGATAATAAATAAGAATACAAGAATAAACTCTGTTTCCCATACTCACTACTGTAAACCTACTTTTGCCAAACTGTTATAAAGACTACTGCTTGCCATTGGTGTTGGGGACTTTTACTTGGTTTTCTTCCCACCAGGTTGCTCTGTATCCCAAAGTTCATGACCTCCCATTCTCCTGATGACTGTCCTCCAGGAGGGTCTTGCTGCTTCTCTATTCTAAAGGTTTGATGTGAGATAATACAACTTCTGAAGATCGGATTTCACATTTTCCTTAAGAACCCAAGTATTTCAGGCCGACATTTATTTTTTAATGCATTTATCATATATATATATGTGTGTGTGTGTGTGTGTGTGTATAATTTATTTACTAGAGAAATATGCTAATTAACCAGTATTCTGTAATGGGTCGATGGGACAGGAGGAGGCTACACACACGGTGTTGGGAGGGGGGTGGCAGAGGCCTCCGTGCCTGCACTGGGGCAGGGCCTGATAGCAGCCACTGTGACTGCTTCAAGGGCCCTAGAGAGGGAGGCAGGGCCAGACCAGTGACTTGAGGGTGGACTGTGCTTTGCAATTTCAAATCGTGTGCTGGGCTCCTAGTTAAATAATAACAGCAAGCTGGACACATAGGCTCTATCTGCTCATAATTTAAACTGCAAACAAAACTGTCTGCATCCGGTCATGTAAGTTACTTCCTACGTGAGGATGAAAGTGAACCATGACAAAGTATCTGCATGAGCAGAGGCATCAGTTTCAAAATTAAGCCTCTGTACATTTCATGAAAGGCATTTGAAGTCTTCATGTTTTGTAACCTCTGGACATGTCACTGTTCCCACTCTGATTGTGGAATTCCTTAATTGCCATCCTATTAGAATTATTTTTTTAAATTAAATTTATTGGATGACGTTAGTCAACATATCATATAGGTTTCAGGTGTGGGTTTCTTACTTTTTGGAGTTGTGCCATGTCTCCAATGCACATTCTCAGAATGAGGTATTTGGACCTGCAGCATCAGTATAATTTTTCAAGTTGGTAGGAATGAAATATCGCAGCCCCACTCCAGAGCAATTGAATAAAAAAAAAATCACATTTTATCAACATCTCCAGCTGATGCATCTGAACGTGGTAATTTGAGAAGAAATTGTCTAAGACAGTTTCTTGAAATAAATAACTTCTACGTTGAAGGAAAGCAGATGAAGAGTTACTTTAAAATTTGCCTCAAAGGATTATTCTAACTTTCAGAGACCAAGACTGCAATAAATATGTGAAAGGTTATAAGTTTCCCGCTCAATTATAAGACAGTTTTTTTTTTAATAACATGAGCTGTCACACCAGGCTATAGCTAGCCTCATAATTTCCAGAGTAAAACAGGACAGACTGTGAAGGATTTTGTAGAGGGAATTTCTACTGTGCATGAGAGGCCAGAGATGACACAAATGGGCCCTACTTACAAGAAGAGTCCATCTATAATAATAAAAGGGTAGCCAAAACTGGTTTGGCTCAGTGGATAGAGCATCGGCCTGCAGACTGAAAGGTCCCATGTACCATTCCGGTCAAGAGCATGTACCTTGGTTGTGGGCACATCTCCAGTAGAGGGTGTGCAAGAGGCAGCTGATTGATGTTTCTCTCTCATCAATGTTTCTAACTGTCTATCCCTCTGTAAAAAAAATCAATAAAATATCTCTCTAATTCTCTCTTCCTCTCTGTAAAAAATCAATAAAATATATTAAAAAATAATAAAAGAGTAATATGCTAATTAGACAGGGCATCATTCTGGATGTCCTTCCAGATGAAGCCAGGGCAGGAGGGAAGCCCAGGTCCCAGGTGCCAGAGGGAAGCTGGAGCTGGCAGCCTGAGGCAGGAAGGCCAACTCTGACACAAATTTCATGCATTGGGCCTCTAGTTAATATATAAAGCAGCAATTGTGATGGACTGGACCTCCAGCAAGATCATTACACACAATTTATTACTCAGTAAGAAGCCTTCGATAAGGCTGCACCAACAGCCTATTTCCTAATAAGAAAAAAAAAAGCACAGTTTTTAAAGCTTTATAAAGAATATCATGGTTGATTAATGGTTATATCCCTGCCTAGGTTCTAGCTGAGCACAAACTTTGTACTTTAAAGATGTGCCCTGGCCAGTTTGTCTCAGTGGATAGAAAGCCGGTCTATGGACTGGAGGGTCCTGGTTTGATTCCAGTCAAGGGCATATGCACAGGTTGTGGGCTTGGTCCGCAGTGGGGGTGTGCAGGAGGCAGCCTATCAATGATTCTCTCATCATTGATGTTTCTATCTCACTCTCTCCCTCTTCCTTCCTCTCTGAAATTAATAAGAATATACCCGTCCACCCTCCCGTCGGCCAGGGGCTCGTTCTCAGTGCCAACACCCTCTTAGCTCTGGTGTCAGGCTCCTAGACAAAACGACCAAGCTGAGCAGACCTGAGAGTCTCATGTCAGCAGAAAAGGTTACAGTTTTCTGAGCTTCTGCTGGCCCTGGTCTCATCTGTGCTTTTTCTGGCTGCACCTGTCGGCCTACTGGGTGCCCTGCACCCACCGGGGACAGGAAGCAACATGAGCCCCAAACGCAAGGTCATTTCTGAGGGTGGCAGGCACCAGAGCCCCTCCCCAGGGGCCCAGCTCTCAGAGGAGGCCATACCTCCCAGTTGCATGTCTAGCCCAGACTTCCTTTCGTTTCAGGCCTAGACATGCATCTAACTGCTGGCATCTCTGTTTTTATGTTCCTCTGTGTCCTCCTGTCCCTCTGTGTTCTCTAGTCAGAAAATAGCACATCTTCTGTCCAGTCACCTGTGTGGACGCCCCCCTAGTTCCCCAACCTTGCCAGGCTGAGGCGAGGATGGAAGACGAGGTGGCTGTCTGTGCTCTCCTGTCCTCTGTGTCTGGCGTGGAGCCAGGTTCTTATAAAAATAAACTTTTGTTAATTAAAAGAAAAGAAAAAAAGACATCATTTGCAAATACCTGAGCAGAGCCACAGTCACATTCTTCTCCCTCATCCAAGTTCTTGTTTCCACAAGATGGAGAATCATTTGAGTGATCAGTAAATGGAACATTAAACATGCATGCTGGCTTATACTCCTTCAGGAATTTCTCATACTGTATTCTGTTGCATTTACTGAATTTTAGTGCAGGAATGCTAGAGATAAGTTAAAAGCAAAGATTAATCATATCATTGCATACTGGGAGAATCACTGTGAAAATTTTATAAATAATTTAGAAAGAAAAAAATATAAATACTAAACTCTAAAAGTCTATTTATTTTCCCTACTCTTGTCTTTCTGTTATAGCAGTGACTGGACTATTCATCTGCTCCCGGAAATTCTTTGTGAACCTTGGTTTAAGCTGATGGTCCTTGCTTTCTGCTCCCGTACCACTTTTTATTTTTTCTTGAAATAATCTATATACTTGGTTACCATCCATGTAAGATCACAGTTTCTCAATGCAAAGACTGTGTTACACGTTCAAAAAAAAAAAATTAAAGAAAAGCACCAGTTGCCCTAGCCTGTTTGGCTCAGTGGATAGAGTGATGGCCCTTGGACTGAAGAATCATGGGTTTGATTCCTGTTAAGGGTACATACCTCAGTTGCAGGCTTGATCCCCGGACCTGGTTGGGGCACATGCGAGAGGCAACCAATCAGTGTGTCTCATATCCATGTTTCTTTCTTTCTGTCTCTCCCTTTACTTTGAAAAGGAAGAGACAGAAAGAAAGAAACATGGATATGAGAGAGACACATTCTAAAAATCTCTCTAAAAATCAATGGAAAAATATCCTCAGGTGAGAATTAACAAAAATTAAAAAAAAAAAAAAAAAAACAGAAAAAGAAAAGCACTAGTTAGTACAGTGGCTGGAACAGAGTAGTTGTCTATAAACATTTGTTGAAACAAACTATTCATTTAATAATATCAAACACATCTTAGGAATAGGATATAGTTTAAAAAAACTGAAATTGACATCCCTCCTATTTTTTGTTTTGTTTTGACTCCTTTCTATTCTTATTGACAGATAGATCAAATACAGAAGGACATTTAGAGTCCTGAATACATTAGATAATTAGGTAAGGATGGTGGGGCCCTGAAAATAAATGGCTCATTATGTAAATAACCATATAAAATTAGATATCGGTTATTGAATTCTTCCTTTATGAAGTCACTGTGCTTGGGTGCTTTGGCTACTTTCCTCCATTTAATCAATATATAGAGCACTGGTTACCATCAAGTAATATTTTTCTTACTTTATACAACGCACTACATGCACCTACTGTGAGAGTTCAGAGATGTGCAAGGCTTGGGGCCTGACTGCAGCTAGTTCAAGGCTGAGAGGAAGCGGGGCATCCTCTCATTCTGTATCTGGGGAGTGCCTTGTATGTGTCTGGGACTTTTCTAGACAGGGCTCTATAACAAAGAACATAGAAAAACAAAACAAAACAAAACAAAACAAAAAAAGAACCCTGACTTCATGAAACATGGATTCCAATGGAGAAGGGAAATAACTAAATATGTAAAATGTAGAATGCATTAATAGTTCTTAGTATTAGAGGGGGAGATTAAAGCAAGGACTGGGGGTGTGCATACTGTTAGAGTATATGTGTGAGGGGACAGGATTGAAAAATTGGATCTGGTAGCTACGAAGGCTTTGCTGAGAAAGATGATAAACCAAGGCATGTGGAGTATGTTCCTCTCCTGAACAGCTTGTTATAGTAACTAAATAATTGATTGTCATGTACTTTTTCGATGTGCTCAGATGGAGTTTTAGAATTTCTCTTATTACATCACTAGGAGATACACTACCAATGGGTATGATTTAGCTCCCTGAGGGAAGCATCTTACTGGAACTGCTTTTGTAATAGGCCTTCTAGAGTATACTAGGAAAATTCCATATAATCACAATATACCCCTACAATATGGAATTTGAATCAAAAGTCACTCCCTACATATTTAAATGTGTTCTCTATACCATTTGAGCCTTACCTTCCACCTCTATCCATCACACATCTTTCCTGAGTGCAGGTACATGGGGAATCATCATGCTGCATCCCAAGGCTATGCCCCAGATGATGGGCCATTCGGCTTGCAATCACATTAAGGTCTGGTAGAAGATCCTGAGGCCAAAGGGAGATGTGCATTAGCAATTTCTACAAGAGCGCACTGTGGTAAATAGTGCTTTGAACTAATGGTTGAAACCTGTTTTCTAGCTTCTGGTTAACTAATACTTATTAGAGAGGCCATGGACTTACCTCCCTCTTCTGTCCCTCAGTTTCTCTAGTTATACAATATAATGAGGTTTTGAGTGTCTCTAAATCTACCATTCTGAAATTCCTTTTTGTGGTATAATAATTGTCATTGTTGGAGTTATACAGACACATGCTTACAAATAGCTAAAAACGATTTACTAATGCTTTACCCCCAAAAATAAACATTACTACCATCCATATAGAGATAATCAAAGGGGGTAAAAATAAAAACGTGCGTCGTTCATGCTTTCAATGTGCAGCCTCACATTGCACAAAATTGTTATGCACTCATGAGAATGCAGTTCCTACTTGAAGAAAAGCAGGAGGTCAGTATGGCAAAATCTAACATAAAAACGATTGTTACCTGTTTGCATTGTATTTAACATTCTAATCTTTATATTATCTTTAAAAATATGAATTTCCAAAGGGGATGGAATGTCAGGTTACTGTAGAAGTAAAATGCCACTATTTTGGTAATTTCATCTTGCTCATTTAAATTTAAAATGTACTTACTCTAGGTTATTATATCATAATTTGAGCAGTGGTTGCCTATATTAGATTAGGTTGACTCTTTATGCAACATTTAAGTTATTAAAACTCCATTGGAAAACACATAATCATATAATACATAGTTCATGAATTCATTTTAATAAGTTCTAGCTTTTTATTTTAACATCTTAACAAGACTGGCGGAGCATTGCAATCAGTAGGTAGGCACTAAAAAATCTAATTCAAGTCTTGATGTTTTCAAAAATTTGTTAAATATTGTTACTTCAACAGTACTAACTAGAAGCTCAGTGACTTGAGAAAGATCAGATAAACAAGAATCAGAGTCAGCAGTGTGAAGGTCTTATGCTTTTGGAAAACAAATAATAAGTCTGCCTTAATATGATATTTTATATGGTCTCTGCAATTTCTTTTCAGCACAAGAACAATTATCCTCACTTGCGAAATCAGTTGAGTTTAATGGACTTTATATGTCATCTGCAAAACTATATTTAATATGCAAAATAACTTTTTAAATCTTTGCATGTTAATTTGTATATTATGTTATCTTAAACTGTGAACACTGATTTACCTTTATTATTCATCTATTGTTTTTTAAATAAAATATTTCCTTTCTCATCTAATAAAAGCAACATGGAAGTTTGATCATGGGTTGGTAGGAATACATGAAGAAATGCATACATAGTCCCTTTTACACAGAATATTACAGAAATTTAATTCAAACATTTTATTAAGTAGTATGACATAAATAAACACAGCCCACCTTAACGACACTGCAGGAATAATTGGGCAGGCACATACCCCCTGGATAAGAAATTCCTTGTGCATTGGTATAAAGCCACTTCCCACTATAAACAAAACGAAAATACACTCTTCAATCTGAGATCGTAGTTTAATTAATACGTACTGTACATTGAACCGCAGTGAATTCCCACAGTGCTAGTGCCTTTGCACATGAGAGTGTCTTTTCTTTTCCCTGGAGTTAAGGATGACTTCAGTTGACATTAGCTCATTTTAAAACTATGGTATATTAGATGCATTGAAAAATCAAGCAATATTTAGTTGAAATCATACAAAGTATTTTTTAAAAAATAACAATGGTAGAGTCCCATTTTAGTTGACTTCAGTTTACCCTGCATTCAGCTCTGGATAAAAAACAAACAAAAAAACAAACAAACAAACAAACAAACAAAAAAAAACTTTAAAAAAAATTAAAATGTTTAGAGCCCAGCCAGCGTTGGTCAATGGTTGAGCATCACATTTCAATTCCTTGTCAGGCTCAGTCCCCAGTGTGGGGTGTGCAGGAGGCAGCCGATCAATGATTCTCTCTCATCATTGATGTTTCTATCTCTCTCTTCCTCACCAAAATCAGTAAAAACCTATATTTTAAAAAAGGTTTAGAAAATATAACATAGTGAATGGACTCAATGCATGATTAATTGGTTGTGGTTGAAAATTTTTAAAAATCTTGAATCAGCTATAAAAAATTACAGAGAATTTTATAGCTATGATAAAAGATTTAAAAGAGTATCATGTGAAAACAGAACTATCCCTAGATTAACTAAAAAGACAGATGTAGATGTGTATATCATATGAATCTAAATGCTTTCAAGAAAAATATTTGGAGTTGGAACACCTTAAAGAGAGCTATCAGGGCTGGAAGGCCTGTGCCCTCTCGCTGTCCAGGACTGAAAGCCTTCAGTTGGACATCCTTAGCACTGCCACAGAGGCAGGCGAGGCCCCCACCACCACCGCTGTGCTCACCAGCCATGAACCCGGCTTCTGGCTGAGCAGTGCTACCCTGTCGGAGAGCACTGACCACCAGGAGGCAGCTCCTGTGTTGAGCATCTGCCCCCTGGTGGTCAGTGCACATCATAGCAATCGATCCTCCTTCTTGGGGCTGAAATTGGTTCTCGGACATCTCCCGAGGGGTCCCAGATTGCAAGAGGGTTCAGGCCAGGCTAAGGGGCCTCACTAGTGCACGATCAGGGCTGGAGAGGGACTCAGGAGATTGGCCAGCTGGAGAGGGACTGCAAGAGGGTTCCAGAGCGTGTCTGGCTATTCTCGCTCAGTCCCAATTGGCTGGATCCCAGCAGCAAGCTAACCTACCAGTCAGAGGATCTGCCCCCTGGTGGTCAGTGCATGTCACAGTGAGTGGTTGAGCGGCCTTAGCTTAGCACATTAGGCTTTTATTATATAGGATATGTATATATGTGTGTGTGTATATGTACATGTATATGTATATGTATATATGAAGATGTTCTCTTTTTCTTTCCTTATGATTTAAATGTCCCCATGCCTCTATTTTAAAGACTTAGTATTTGACTATACATCTTGAAGGAACATGGAATTCTAGACTCTGAATTTCTTGGGAGAATACCACCTGTGGAGATGAAGTGCCTTAGAAAGCAGGGTCCAAATTCTGACTGCTCATAAAACACTTAAAACCAAAAGTCACTCCATGACAATGCCATATATAGTGCCTTATCACTTCTAGATCTTTGTGAGTAGAAAAGGGAAGATATATAAGAAACTGAACATCTGAGAAATCCCAAACATAGTGCCCAGTTAGTCATTAATATCACTCCCCTTCACATCAGTTCTCTATCTGTAGACATACTATTAGGGAGAGATAGTTACCTCTCAGAGTAAGAGACACTCATGGAAGTAAAAGATTTCCCACTTATACTCATTTAAATGTTCTTAAATTAATTGATTAATTATTTTTAACACATGTCTAAGGATTAGGCAAAGGGGCTAAGCTTGCCACTACAGAAGTTATGATGATATTTTGCTTCACTACCCATATTTTTGAATTATACTAGTTCATGAATATCCAAGCCCAAGCCAGGTACATGCATCCCCTGCAAATATGTGCTATGGGCCATCCCTGTATGGAAATCAGAAATGATATTACACTAGAGGTCTGGCTCACTCTCATTATTCTAACAAAGGGCTGGAGCTGACCTCTGACTAGAGGCTTTGGAAGCTTCACAGTTCTGAGGTCAGACTAAAAGTTAACATTTTGATAATGGTCAAAAGCACATTTGCAGGCTGTGTTTGCAGACTTTAGGAGAAACACTGCTATTATAGGTAGTAAGGGAATCAGGAGAGATGCTAAAAGACTCCAATGCTCCAAATTTGTTCTTCCATAAATTAACATTCTTTACTATATCAGGGTATGTGAAACATAAGATTGAAGTCAGTTCAGCTTCACAATTATTTACCATTTCTCTACTGGCTGAGTACTGTGCTCAGGTATTTTGAATAACAGAAATGATTTTAAAATGGCCCCTATTTTAAAGAATTAATTACCTTAGTATTCCAGATAAATTCAGACTTTTTCTTAGAAATTTTAGGGCTATGGAAGTTTTAATTTATCACATTAGTTTTCTGAAAATTTGAATGATAGAGAAGATGCTCTTGGAACACTAGTCACTGAATGAGCACCCATTGTTGAGGGGAAATGTTCAGAGTATAAGGCGTTTTCTCAGAAAAAGTTGATTTTTGGGGAGTGTTAGAATAGGATGGTGTGGAAAGCTGAAGGAGTGAGAATTGAAAGCAGAAAGGTAAAGTAAATGGATTCTGAAATTGCTTTACTTACATAACAACATTTCTCAACCCTGCCCAGGAATATGAATATATTAAATTTTTCCTTTCTAGTGTTCACCACTATTAGGAAGGAAATTCTTAAAAAGTTCTTATGAAATTTTTCTATATAGTTAGACATAACATTCTGTCCCTGTGTACTATCCAAAAATGTCAATTGCCTTAAAAATATTTTGTTTTTATTTGTTTTGTTTTCTTTTTTTTTTTTATAAACTTCCTAAGGTATGAAGGGAAGTAGAGCATTTACATACCTGAGTAACAAAACATGATCATAATTCTTCTTCTTTTTAAGGATTGCCTGTTGCCAAGCTGAAAAACGTAATAAAGTTGTTTCTATATTGGAATCAACTTTTATTTTATCTCCACTTGTCCACATCTCAAGGCCAACCAATGTAACATGAATGTCGAAAGTTTTATAAATCTGTTTAAAATTTAAAAAAAAATATTTCACAAAGTCAATTTGCAGAAAGATCCTTGCCATTAGCATATTCTTTTACATAAAAAAAAAAAAATGAAACTTTTGCAGTGAGTGCATGCCAGAGAGACCTCCCACACCTTGAAGTTCTCACCCATGTGCCTGGACCCAGCCTCCCAGAATCCCATGCTGACAGGGCTGCCATAGCAACACAGAGCCACCCTGTGACCACCCCAACCCTGGGCCTAGGGAGTGTCCTTCTGGTCCAACCTGGTGATCCCAGGCAAGGATCAACGGACTACAATGCAAGTATCCAGCCAGAGGGTCTGAGGTTGCCATCCTACTGCAAGTAGCAGGGCCATGTAGCAAATTTCAGGCTGCCGATGCTGGGCCCTCATAAGGAGTTGCACACCAGAGGAACTCTGCATGTAACCCTGCCAACCCTGAACATCTGAAGCAGACAAAGGAGGGACCAGATCCATGAGAGAAGGGATTAAAACTCATAGCAATAAATGTGTAAGACTCAAAGCAATAAAAACCAACAATCCAAAAATCTATGGGACACAGTAAAAGCAACCCTAAGAGGGAAGTTCATAGCATTACAGGCCTACCTAAATAAATAAATAAATAAATAAATAAATAATGGTAATAAATAATCTAACCCTACAACTTAATGAGTTAGAAAGAGAGCAACAAGAAAAGCCCAGAGTAAGTAGATGGAAGGAGATAATAAAGATCAGAGCAGGAATAAATGACATAGAGACAAAAAATATATATATACAAAACACCATTAGAACCAAGAGCTGAATCTTTGAAAGGATAAATAAGATTGATGACCCTCTAGCCAGGCTTACCAAGAAGCAAAGAGAGAGGACCCAAATAAACAAAATCAGAAATGAAAGAAGTGAAGTAACAACTGACCACACAGAAATGCAAAGGATTATAAAAACAAAACAAAACAAAATAAAACAAAACAAAAACTATGAACAGCTCTATTCCAACAAACTAAACAACCTGGATGAAATGGACATATTCCTAGAAAAAAAAAAACACAATATTCCAAAATGCAATCAAGAAGAATCAGAAAATCTGAATAGGTCAATAACTACTGAGGAAATTGAAGCAGTAATAAAAATTAAAAAAATCCCAGAAACAAAAGGCCTGATCTGGACAGATTCATAGGACAGTTTTATCAAACATTTAAAGAATTAAAATCTACCCTCCTCAGATTATTTCAAAAAATTAAAGAGGAAGGAGCACTTCTAAGCTTTTACTATGAATCCAGCATTACCCTAATCCCAAAATAAGATAAAGATGCTACAAAGAAAGAGAATTATAGGCCAATACCCCTGATGAACATATATGCTAAAATCTACAACAAAATACTAGAAAATTGAATCCAACAATACATTAAAAAGAACAAACATCATAACCAGGTGGGATTTATTCTGAGGATGCAAGACTGGTACAATATATGCAAATCAATAAACATGACACATCACATAAAAAAATTGAAAGACAAAAACCACATAATCATATCAATTGATGCAGAAAAAAGCATTTGACCAAATCCAATACCCTTTCTTTATAAAATATCTCAGCAAAATGGGAATAGAGGGCTCATATCTTAATATAATAAAAGCTTTATATGACAAACCTACAGCCAACATCATATCGAAGATGTTAACAGTTGTAAAGAACACTGCTTCTATAATGACCAACAGAAAAAGAATCTACAAAATTTTATTTTTTATTGAAACCATGAGAGCTGAAGTAACTAGGCAAACAGCCTGGAATCTAAGGAAATACAGACTCCTTCTAAGAGAAATTGTACAAGAGCATCTCCCAGTGGTAGAAAGAGAGAAAAAGAGATGCTGCTTGTCAAACAGAGAGAAAAGAAGAATCCACCAAATATTTTTAAGGAATTGCTAAAAGACAAGGGTGGGATAGAACAATAGTACAGGACCCTCAGGGAGACAGACACAAGGAAATATGCCCATGCACATTACTACGAAGTAATGTCTTTCCCAAGAACACAATGGAGGGCCGGTGGGAGACTGGAGATATCCTTGCCTGAAGGATGGGTGTAACTGTTGCCTTGGAAACATTTTGAAACCTCCCAAGCCCCTCTCTTGAGAAACAAAAGCCTTAAGCTGCTGTATGAACTTCAGCAACCTTTTTCTTTTACACCCTCAAAACTCAAGTGAAGACCTATTGTAGCTGAAAGAAGGGAAAATAACACCCACCCCTAGAGAAGTGGGAGGAAACTATATTGAGGCCAGACTATTCAAGGGCTCCCACCCAAGGAGGAAGGACATGAACTTGGAGAAATATCTAGCCAATGACCCATGGGCAGGACTTTCGTAAGACCGAGGATTGATCAGGATAACAGAAAACACTTTGGTCCCATAACGAGGCCAGCAGTTACTGAGCAAAACACAAGAACAGATTACTACTGAAGAAGAGATCTGTGTGAAAGAAAACTTCCTTTGAGCATCGGCCCTGGACAAATGCCTGAGGTTGAAGTTGAGATTGAAGCAGAAATGAATAACCCAGGACTGACTCTAAGTACAAGATAACATTACAGAGATCTGAAGCTCATGGCGCACTATAAGTAACAATAGCAATAGAAACATCCCAAACCAGTGTAATTGCTGATAAGATTGATTCAATCCCATTTGTTATGGCCTAGTCACAAAAGAAGTGATAAATACTATTTCCTCTGTCCCTACTATCCTATAAGTAATGTCCAATATTCAATAAAATAATAAAGAATACACAAAAAAGCAAGGAAAAACAGCCCACTGTTTGAGAGATGAGTCAACAAAACTAGACTCAGAGATAATCCAAATGTTGAAGTTATCTGACAGGAAATGTAAAATAATAATTATTTATATGTTATATCTCTAATGGAAAGTATGGATGTGGTAAGCAGAAATTTAACATAAAGTTGTATAAAAATTGCCAAGTATTTGGAAATTAAGTGACACACATATATAACCATTGAATCAAATAGAAAATCATAAGTGATATTGGATATATTTGAATTGAACAAAAATTTAAAATAAAACATAAAAATTTGTTAGAACTAGCTAAAGTACATATACTTATTGTTTGACCCAGCATTCTTATTTCTTAGTCATTTACAAAAAGAAAATAAAAATTTATGTTTGCATATACATCTATATGCAAATGTTGAAAGGAATCTTATTCATTATAGCAAAAACTAAAAATTGATCAAATGTCCTTCAACTGGTGAATGAATCACGTCTGACCTAGATGGGGCTACTCATTACAGCATCTTCCTTTGGGCCTTCTTTATTCTAGTAATGGAGCTCAATGACTTAGAAGGAGTAGAATAAGAAAAATATGTACAATTTACAGTATTGCTTTTTAACAAAGGTTATGGTTAACTATAGATTTTGCTGAAATATTTTTTTTTTAACATCTGTGTCAAAATATAGAAAATTACATGAATTTGCAAACCTTTTTGCTGTGCACGGTCATGGAGCAATAATTTACAATAGTGGATTTGATTTATAAATGATGGGTATTAAAATCTTTGTACATTACTTTATATAATTTTGTGATTAGTGACCAATATTTAAAATTTACTTAAATATTTATTTAATAAATGCCATTTATTTAGAAAACAAAAAACTCAGACCTCTGGTTCATTTATTGCTGTGGATTTAATTAATGTTTACTCATTAGCCTACTGAGTGAATTTTTGTCTTTTGGGCTGTCTCAAAACCACCACAGAAATTCAGCAGTATCTATCCTAAAAATTTCTTTCCATTTGTAATTTTTAGCTTGATTTAAACTGTATAAAATCTTACCATGTTGACAAAATTGATCATTCCCCAAATTCGGTTCCTCAGTTTATTGTGAGGATAGTTATTCCTGTGGTACTGCAAATATAAACATCAGACCAATCTCTATTAATAATAGGAGTTTAATACAAATTCAATAAAATATTTCACACATTATCAGATATTTCAAAGAAAAAAAATATCATTTACATTCCTTGCAGTCAGCTAAAAATATTGATAATGTAAGCAAAAATTTGAAAGTAGCACTTTCAAAAGACATGCTTCAACTTAGCAATTACTTTAAATGTTTTTATAACTTTGTCCCCTTTCACATTTTATTATATTACATTTACATGATTTATCAAATCAAATAGTAAGTGTTTTTTTTTAGATTTCATATTTATCATGCTGATGAAACAAAACTTTTTAAATCTCCACAGCAACCATTATGTTGCAAGCAAACAGCAACTTTATCAGCCTTTCTGTGTCTATGGTGACCACAAATTATGGGACACAATCAAGGGTCACCCTAGAGCCAGATATGTGAGGAAAGGGACACAGAATTGTTGCTTGCCCTTCTTTCCAGGATAAGACTAGGAAGGAAACACCAACTTTCCTACCCTGGCCTATTCTTTAGTTTTTTCCCTCTAGTGCAGTGGTCTGCAAGCTCATTAGTCAACAGAGCCAAATATCAACAGTACAACGATTGAAATTTCTTTTGAGAGCCACATTTTTTAAACTTAAACTTCTTCTAATGCCACTTCTTCAAAATAGACTCACCCAGGCTGTGGTATTTTGTGGAAGAGCTACAGTCAAGGGGACAAAGGACCGCATGTGGCTTGCAAGCTGTAGTTTGCCAACCTCGATCCTGTCAGTTTATTATTTTTTTATTTTTATTAAACTCATTTGGGTCACACTGGTTAAACAAAATTATATAGGTTTCAGGTGCACAATTCCACATCATCTGTACACTGTATTGTGTGTACACCACCCTAAGTTATGTCTTTCCATCACCACCTATTCTGACTTTTGTTGTCTTCTTTCAAATGGGTTCTCTATTTGTGCCATCAGGACCTTGTTCTCAGTATCACCCATGTAGATCTGACCAAATATATTTAACAATAATGTAAGTTGTTCTGTGGGGACCAATGGAAATGGTCAAGCTTCTTACCTAAAGAAAATAAAAATAAATGTCCTGTTCTGAATCTTGCAAGGATCTTCTAGTGAACATTTCATTGCTGTCCTGTTATAATAAAAATCTATATATCTCAATGATATAACATTAGAATCTCTTTGATTACCATCTACCACCTAATCCTCAACTCATCACTCACTAGCTTGACTATCACCATTTCATTGAAACTATTCTTGATAAATGTCCTCTCAATGATCAACCCATTGAACACTTTTCCCTCATCTTCCTGTTCATCCTGTTCATATTTAATATTGACTATTTTCTCTTTCAAGACTTTTCTTATCATCCTGGTTTTCATTACTCTATACATTTCTGGGATCTTACTGTGGAGAGGTTTCTCTTTTCCACCATCCCCTTAGCTTCTAAATAACAAATGTTTTCACTCCAGGATTCCCATTGATGAATGGGTAGGGCTGGCCTAGTATGCATAGTTAATAGAGATTCCGAAGTTGTCTTAGGGACTACAGGAATAGAATACTTATCTATAATTGATTTTCACCCATGGGGAAAGAAAGAGGGATGGACATGGGGTCTTTGTACTTTTATTTCCAAACCTTTATTAAACGTTTAGTGTTCCTTGGAATCAGACAGTTGTGCTATGCTCTCTCTTTCAACTTGCTAACTCTGGGTGTACCCATCATACCCTCACTCTTAATGATGCTTAAAACTCATCATATTGCTTTCAAGATGTGTCAAACCCTCAACATGTTTTTCCAAAGCTGCCTTTGTTTTCCCTCTTCTATCTTACCAAAATACCCTAACTCTTAGACTTTATTAATAAACTAGAGGCCTGGTGCAAGAAATTAATGCATGGGAGGAGGGTTGCCCCTCAGTCTAACCTGCACCCTCTCCGATACGGGAGCCCTCATGGGATGTCCTACTGATGGCTTAGGCCTGCTCCCCTTGGTTCTCTCCTCTCTGTAGGCCCTGCTTGCTCCACACCATGGTGACTGCCAAGCAGGCCATGCTGGGTGTTGCCTGCAGACAGCACTTGCCTGCTCCTGGGCCACCACAGCAACTGCCAAGCAGGCTGGGCTGTGAGCTGCCTCCTCCCTGCTGTCGGTCTCCATGGAGGCGATGAGATGAATTTGCATACTCACTTCTGATTGGCTAGTGGGCATCTCAAAGTGATGGTCAATTTGTATATTTCTCTTTTATTAGTGTAGATTATTATTAAGATCAAAGCTTCTCTTAATTTTCTTTAAAAATCTAGTTAACTTTTTCTTACTGACATGCAATGATCCTATCTATACATTAGTGCCTAGAATTTACTAATTCATTAGATTTTTTTTTTCTTTTCCTATGCATTATATTTCCTCTGCCCTTTTCCCAAGGAAGACAGAATGTTTTCTTTCTCTTTTCATTTTCAATGCACAGAACCTTTCTATTTCCCTTTACAGGTCTGGGCCAGCCCTTTATGGCTCTGAGTATCATGCACTAGTCTACGTATTGTGAGTCACAAAGCCTTTAAGTTTTATTTACTACTCTGAGGCTTTCTTCCTCATTTTTAGCACTTGGAGATTTCTTGTTTTTATTGTTGTTGCTGTTATTTTTGTTTGGTTGGTTTTAGCTGAACTACAGAGTATAGATATAGTTTCATTTTTTGCATGTTGCTCAGCATTTTCATATTTGTAATGGGGAGGGCAGTTCTTTTTTGGCTCAGTCTGCTGTACAACTAAAGGATGCAATCATCTCTTATAAAAATCTGTTCTGGGAAGCAAAAAAGATATTGAGCCCAGAATGAAATTCTGCATAAACCTTTTTATTTGTTAGGATCACAAATCTAGTTTTATAAGGATGAATGAAGAGCCAATATTCATTTGAAAACTTACCACGTTACTATCAGCAACAACAAACAGTTCAACATAGTTTTCTAAATGGGTGACCTGGAAGTTTATAAAAAAAAATTAATGAGGTATAGTTAATATTCCCTATTTTAAAATTTTAAGATAACATTTGTAAGGTAAGAATTGTAAATTTTTATTGATACAAGAATGTGAGGTATAGAAGTATATTTAGTAATTCTAGAAAATTATCTAAATAAAATCCATATTATTAAAAGATGTGGTCCTGTATATCAGATTGTAATAAACCTGAAATAGCATTCCATATTTGATTATCTTTTTGTTCCTTGTTAAGTCTTTCACATAAAATAAGTTATAAATAAAAAATATATATATAGTTTTTAACATTAAGTTTTTTTTTTTATTTACAAAGTAAATGCTTACTAAGAAAACTCCTTTAAAAAAAGCATCCATCTATAAAGCTCAGAACTAACATAGAGCTAATTATTAGCCTACAGTCAGGCTAATAGAACTGATTGTTTTTCATTTATTCTTGCTCCTCTCTCCAAATCATCTGTATTTCAGTAGTCTAATTCCAAGAGGACATGTATAAAAGTTGCTAACTATAGATCTTTTATAAAATACCAATACTAAGAAATTCTATGTTTTCAGTTTTTGATGGCATACATTGGAGTTCATGCATATTCTCTGAGTATAAATCAGGGACATGTTGTTCAAAGATTGACTAAGTCATTCTTATGTGGACTAAGTAATCTTTTATTGATTGATTTATTTAATTGGACTAAGAATATGGGAAGAAGATGAACAATTTTGGAACTTAAAGGCTAACTAACATCCAGTGGAATTTAAGGAGATATAAATTGGTTGTAGAGAAAATGAACTCATTATTCTCTTAATTGTCCTTAAGAGTTAGAACATTTGACCTAATTAAAGGGAGAGAATCTTGCTTATTAATTCCCCAAAAATGTCAATGAAGACAAGGGCAGACAATATATAGGATAGGTTCCAAGACAATGTAAATTTCACTCTTTTAGCCATTTGTAGCTCAAATGCTCTAAACCTATATACATATGGTAGATATTCCCCTTCCTGAAACCAATGGGACAAACTGAGATTTACTGTATGTAACAATCACTTTCCATATAGATAACAAATACAAGTGCTTGAGATTTCAGATTTCAAACAGTAAAGAGATAGATGCAGATAGTATTCATACTTTCTTTGTTGAGATCAGAATTTCTCTCTTGAGATCATAAAGGAATGGAGAAAAATATAACTTAAAAATAAAGAATTCACTTCCATGGATTTAGAATTGATGTTTGGAGCAGTTGTCCTTTTAAAATTAAGCTCTGTACAAGAATAATTGGCAGCATACTGAATTTTTGGGTTATAGTTGAATACTAAATGTTCTCCCTCATCTGAATATTTCACTGGTTCAATAAGGTACCTTTGGTCATATACCCTGAAGAATCCCCTGTGGAAATTGAGAACACAATGCATAATTAAGAATTTTTATTATTACCTTACTATACAAAACTACTCTATTCCATATTTATTGATGCTGTCTTTTAAATTTTTTATTATCTATTTTATAAATTCTCCCTAATTTGGTTTAATTTTCAAATTTAACATAAGTACTTTTTCCCACTCCCTTTTATTTTATTACTTTTCACATCACCATTTATCCCCCATATACCCTCTTCCAACTCCACCCACCACCCCCACAGTCACCATATTGCTGTTCATGTCCATGAGTTTTTTCTCTGTTTTGCTCAATCCCTCCACTTTCCCCAGCACTCCCAGAGCTATCTGTTTGTGCTCTATCTATGAGTCTGTCTCTGTTTTGCTTATTGGTTCAATTTGTTTATTAAATTCCACATTTGAGGGAAATGATATGGCACTTGTCTTTCTCTGACTGGTTTATCTCACTTAGCATAATGTTCTCCAGGTCCATCCATGATGTTGCTAAAGGGTAAAATTTTCTTCCTTTTTATGGCCAAATAGTCTTCCATTGTGCAAATGTACCATAACTCTTTTATCCACTCATATACTGATAGATACTTGGACTGCTTCCAGATCTCGGCTATCTATATATATAAAATATTAAGTGACCAACTGTCTGACCAATATGCACTGGCAATTTAAAAACAAACCTTAATTCATGCATGTGTGATACATATAAAGGTCTCTCTGGAGCTAATCACATGTGTGTGTTTTGATCTGTCAGCGATATTAAAATATTTCTTCTAATTAATTTCCTTACAATGTGTATGAATCCATTCACCAAGCCACTAGTTATAAATAAAGCTGCAATGAACATAGGGTGCATATATTCTTTTGAAAAAGTGTTTTTGGGTCTCTTTGGTTGTGTTCCCAGAGGTAGAATTGCTGGATCATAAGTCAATTGAATTTTGAAGTTATTCTATACTGTTTTTCACAATGGTTGCATCAATCTGCATTCTCACCAAGAGTACACAAGGATTCACTTTTCTCCACATCCTTGCCAACACTTGTTTTTGTTGATTTATTGATCATAGCCATTCTGCCAGGTGTGAAGTGATATATCATTGTGGTTTAACTTGCATCTTTCTCATGATTAGTGCTGTTAAGTATTTTTCATACGTCTATTAGCCATCTGTATAACCTCTTTGGAGAAGTGTCTATTCAGATCCTTTGCCCATTTTGTAATTGGATTGCTTTATTGGTGTTCAGTTTTATACATTTTTAAATAAATTTTGGATATTAACCTCTTATCAGATGTACTAGTGAGTATGTTCTCCCGCAGAGTGGGTTTCTTTTTCATTTTGTTGGTTTCCTTTGTTGTGCGACACCTTTTCAATTTGATGTAGTTCCATTTACTTATTTTTTCTGATGTTGCCTTTTAAGAAAGGAGAACTATAAAGGCAAAGCCCCATGAGACTGCAGCTATTTTGAATGATAAAAATATGAGATAATCTGTGGTCTTTGAATTCATACCTTTTTGTAAGAGTCAACTCATCTGGATTTTTCAGAAGCTTTAACAGTCCAATCTCTACTTTCAAGTATTAGAGTAACAATTCCCACCTGCAGCTATAGATCCCTGGAAAGTCTCAGAATTCTTGCAAAAATGCTATGAATTTTTATGACCACCATGCATTAATTGTAGAATATATGTTAAAGTACAAATGCTATTATGTGATTAACTTGTTATTAAAGGGGTTTTCATATTTGAAAATGCTGGGCACTACTCAAGTAAATGCCAAAGCAAAAGAGACAGAAGTTTCTTGTTCTACCTTTTGCCTCTCTATGTCTTTCTCCTTTGTAGAGTTAAAGATCTACAGAGAACCGCTACAGGTTTTGCTTCTGACATTTTGCTTTCTAGGGACCGAAAACACTGGGAAGTGCTGATGTGTGTGTGTAATTCACATGACTAGAAGTTGAGAGACCTGGTTTGGACTTAATTCTACCACTGGCAAATAAAATGTTCAGGAGCAAGTCTCTGATTTCAGTATCCTGATATAGAACATGAAATTTCCAATAGTATTCAAACACTGAATCTCTTGATCATATGCTAGAATACTTATCTTGCTTAGGGCTGCCATTAGACATCTTTTTTTTTTTTTTTTTTTTTTTTTTTAATAAAAAGGGAACATGAACAATGGGATGAAGTGGATACTCATGTTGAAAATATATAGTAGCTTTTTTTATTTACCAGCATTGGGGCGAAAAATGAGAAGTTAAATTTTTTTTAAATCCAGAGAAAAAAATCATAAACAAAATAGAAAGATACTGTGCATTACCTGAGACCATTACATGTGCTGATACTGGCAGAAGAATCATATTCATGTATAATGGATCCTTGGTAAAAACAGTGATCCTAAAATAAATGAAGAGGCTAATGATATAAGTACATATAGAGGGTGGGACAAAAGTAGGTTTATAGTTGGAAGTATAAGAAACATAGAGTTTATTCTTATATTACTATTTATTAATTACTGTATTATTTTCCATAGGAATGCCTATAAACCTACTTTTGCCTCTCCCTTTTGATATGTATTTGATATGTATTTCTAAATAAAATTGCTACATATAATATGTTCACAATATATCAGTATTTCATCCTCACAAATTAATATTTATATTCACTCATGCATTCATTTAACGAGTTATGTCACTTGAAATTTTTTGAAACTGCTTTAGAATCTTTTATTTTAATTGCATGATTACTTTCTGTAATATTACTACTTTAAGCCATCCTAAAATATCTACCAAACTAACCCTCCTGTGTTACTATAATTTTTCCTCAGTTGAGTAGCCTATGAAATCAAGCCTAACTTTTTGATGACTATTGAAATTAGGTCTCACTCTCCAACCTTTATGCCTTCCTCTTCTGCTTCAACCAAGTTGGTATCTTTGTCACTCCCTACTTGATGCTCTGCCCGTGGTGAGTCCAACAGGAATAACCTTCCATCATTTCCATCTGTGTGACTCCTACCTACATGTGACACTTTCCATGTTCCTCCAGGAACCTCAGACACTTGCAGGCCAACAACCACTCCCTGCATGAAAGAATGTCCCCTGTTTTTTTTCCTGTTCTACTTCACATACATTACATAATGACTTCGATTTCATAGTTGGAAGTTACCTTAAATAGAGAAAATTGGTTTTAAAAGTATATCTTTGGTAAGAGAATAATGCTCTTCTTGGTTAGAAGTCTGCAGAGGGCGTGTTCTGGAAAGGTGAATAAAGTTATAAAAATAGAACCTATTTCCATTGAAATACTAGTAATAAATGCACAAAGATTTATTTGGAAAATAAAGGTGAACCCTCAGTGTTGGGTGCATAAGAAGTATGGGGGACAAGGGTTCATTAAATGTGTGACTCATTAAAGGTCAATTAGATGGGGGATTTAAAATCATTTCATTTATTATTTAGGTTTTATCAATTTAACTTGATTACAGTCTCATCAGGCTGCCCTATACTCCTTTAGTGTCCAGTTTTATCCTTCCTCCAGAATTTTTGGGTTCATAGAAGAAGTCGGTTTGGTAAAAAAGAATACATTAATTTAAAAAAATTATTTATTTGCTTGTTAGACTTTTAGCGTTCAAAGGGCTTTGCACTCTAGGATCATTCAGTGACAGTAGTCTTTCTGAAACTGCTTGTAAAGCTAGGATTGGTTTGCAAAATTGCGGGAGGAAAAAAAGAGTCTCAGAGAAGAAACGTAGGCTAGTGTGATAAAATACCTTAACTCCAGGATGGCTGGTGATTTCCTCTCCTTTTGGGGAGTAGTACGTTTCACTATAATTTGAGGCTAGGAACTCCCTGGAAAAGAAGACAGAGAAGTGCCCAAGTTTACTCATTTTTGACAGTGCATACCTTGTTTCCCCAAAAATAAGACATCCCCTAAAAATAAGACTAGCGCAACTTTGGGAGAAAAAATTAATATAAGACACTGTCTTATTTTCAGGGAAACAGGATAGATAAAACCATTTATGTGATTGAGAAGCCTCCAGACTGCTGTCAAATCTCAGGAACTGCTCTTAGGCTAAAAGCAAGAAGCAAAACTAATCCCACTCCTGTGGAACAACTTTCTACCCGGATTTCATGGGTTGGTAAAGACTATAGAAGAAACAGAAAAATATTCTGTCAGTTTTAGCAAAGTGGCACCTTGAAAAGAACCTGGAGAAAATATTACCTTGGTAAAAATTGCTTGCCTTAGGAATCAAAATTATTGCAAAAATCTCATGCGAGACTATAGACGTCACAGGAGAGGAGAATATGTCTATAATATTTGCTAAAACTCTGTCAACACATAATTTTATATCCACAAAAAATGACCTTTGAGAATGAAGAGAAAATAAAGACTATTTCAGATAAAACAAAACTTTCTAGTTTATTTTAATAGGAGTTTAGGTAACATAGCTATGTGCATCTGTCAAAATTCAATGAATGTATACTCAGGTTTATGCATTTCATTATAAAAAAATTTTAACATCAAAAGAAAAACCTGCCAACCCTAATGATATGTTTGTTTTTTTAGGAAGGATTTTATTGAAGATTTTATACAACATAATTTGAAATGCATAAAACAATGAAAGGTGAATGGATGTGTAAATAGATAAAGGAATTATGATATGAACATGCATAGTAAAATATTAACGAATATTTGTGTATATGTCTAACTTGATGGGATTATGAGGATCTTATATAATAAAGATGTAATATGCAAATGGTCATTACCCTGTGAAGCATAAGGATCAAGCGCTGCGCAATGACCAGATCACCGGTCATCAGGAGGGAGGGGCAGCGAGCTACAAGGAGGCAGCAGAGAGCTACTGGAGAAGGCAGGGCAGCAAGCTATGGAGGGTGAGGTGGGGGCAGGCAGAGGGAGTTACAGGAGGGCAGGGCAGCAGGAAGAGCTACAGGAAGGTGGCAGCAAGCTACTGGCTACAAGCAGGGGGTAGGGCAGCAAACTCTGAAGGGGGGTAGGGAGGAGGAGTGGCTGGGGGAGCTACAGGAGGGTGGGGCAGAAGGTGGAGAGCTACTGGAGGGCAGCAGCGAGCTACTGGTGAGCTACTGGTGAACAGATTGGTGCACAGGGCTACTAGTCTGTATATATTAATGGGTTTATAAATGTTCACTATAAAATTCTTTCAATTTTGCTCCATGTGCAAACAGAACGTGCTTTGATATCTATTTTAAATAAAATTCCATTAAGAACCATGGTTTTCAAATTTCCTTTGTTCCACTGATTCACAAAGTATTTGTGAAAGTATTCTTAGAGTATGTAGAGCTCAAAGCACTCCTATATCCCAAACAGGGAGTCAATTAGAAACAGGAGAGCAGTATCTATAATTGTTAGGCTGTTGAAATGATGTGGGCTTACATTAGGAGGGTACAAATTCAGATTATGTACAGATGAAAATGATGTAAGTTCACTTCACTGCAAGTTTTTACAAAAATGGTTAATACTATAGACTAATAAATCTATGTTATTAAATCATAATAGAACTTACCTTGATCTTAAAAGGTGAAGTATAAAGCTTTTCCTACTTAGACTTATTTCATATAACAGTTCATTGTCATAAGTTTCCTGAAAAACAATATCCATAATGTGAACTAAATATGTACTCCTTCAGTGTGGGCTGAGGGTGGGTAGTCTACTCAGAGTTCAGCTCTCCTTTCAGGCAAAATGGTAAATATGAATAAAGCTGAATTTATAAGGAAGCTAATATATGCAGGATTTTACTTTAAAGTTAAAAAAAAGAGAAACATTTAAAGGCTGTTGCTGTAATACTGACTGTGCAGGGAAGTGGCAGCAAGAATAAGGAACAGTAGATAATTTTGAAAGACATTTACATTATGGAGTCTACAAGGCTAGGTGATTGTTTGATAGGGAGGCTGAAGAGAGAAGTTAAGAACTACCTCTCCTTTCTGGTTTGTTTAGCTGTGCCACTACTAAGAGGAGGATCTTCTGACTGACGAGAGGCAACTTTGAGGGAAGGGGAGGAGAGTTTCGTGTTTGTTAAAGGTGAGGTGTGCATCATTAGGACTTTTTTTTATTGCAAGTGTAACATAAAATTAGCATTTTATTGTAAAGACACAGTATTGTTAGTGGGCAAGCAAGAAACAGATACTCAATTAAATGAGAGTTAAATCCCATTTTAAAATAAGTTGACCTTTATGCATAGATGTGTAGGTGTGTGTGTGTGTCTATGTGTATAACAGGATGGTATATCAGGACATTTTGAAATGTGAATGAATATAAATTTTATATTATTGAGTATTGAGGAATAATTTTTATATGTCAGATGTGATAAAGTTATTTTTAATCTTGTCATTAATAGTTTTATGAACAGGATAGTTAACTTTATTTTTTATTTTATAATTTTATGTATTTATATTTATGTTTTAAATTTAGTTTTATTTTAGAATCATTTTAGATTTAGAGAAAATTGGCAAGACAATATAGCGAATTCTCATGTACTCCACAACTCAGGTTTTCCTTAATGTTATATTATGGTGCATTTGTCGCTACTGTTTTTACAATCAACTATGGATTTTACAATCAACATTTACACTTAACCAGATTTCCTTCATTTTTGTCTACTGTCCTTCTGTGGCCTTAATATCTCACTTAGAACACCATATTGCATTTTATTGTCATGTCTCCTTAAGTTCCTCTAGATTAGGGGTGTCGAACTCAATCAGAGAAGGGGCCAAAATCTAAAATCCAGCCTAAATCGCTGGCAGAATGGTTTACTGAACAGTCATAAACTGTCATTGTGATGGAAACGCAGCGGAGTGCAGTGATGACAGCGCGGTGCGGGCCACATTGCAAGGCCTGGCGGGACGGATTTGGCCCGCGGGCCTTGTGTTTGACACATGTGCTCTAGATAATAACAATTTCTCAGACTTGCTCTATTTTGGATGACTTCGACAGTTTTGAAGAATACTGGTCAGGTATTTTGCAGGCTGTCTCTCAATTTAGGTTTTTACAATGTGTATAGAGATTTGGGAGAAAAACAAATAAAGTGTCATTTCCATCACATCATAGCAAGAGTACAAACTATCAACATGACATCCCTGGTGATGTTAACACTGGTCACCTGGCTGAGGTAGCATCTGACAGCTTTCTCCACTGTAAAGGGATATTTCCCCCCTTCTCTAGTCCACTCTTTGAAAGGAAGTCATGAGGCACAGCCCAAGCTTAAAGGGTAAGGAGTTATGCTCCACCTCTTGGGTGGCCAGGAAGGTCGGGGGGAGGAGATATCTACATCAATATTTTGTTCTTCTGTGATGTCTAGTCTCATATTTATTGACTTATCAAACCACATATTTATATCAACATGGTATCATAGACATTTACTTTATGCTAGGGTCCAAAAATGTCACATATTGTTTTGTTCAATTTATTGTTTCTTCTTTGGCCATCACAAGTGATTTCAGTTGGCTCCTATGTTCTTTTAACATCTCTCCTCATGGTGGGTAGAGATTGTCTGTTTGAGAACTTCCTTACTTCCTGGTACAGGTGCTCCAAACTCATCTTGTGTATTTCCTGCCTCAGTTCTGGCTCAACTTGCATATTCACTGTGGGACTTTTAATATCAGTATTGATTAATTCTTATCAGAAGCCAGAGAGCCCACCAGCTTTTGCACAATGGGTGGTAGAAAGCTTGTTTTGACCTCTTAGCTGGGTGCTAATAATCAACCAGTTAAGACAGTGGTTGGCAAACTCATTAGTCAACAGAGCCAAATATCAACAGGACAACGATTGAAATTTCTTTTTGAGAGCCATATTTTTTAAACTTAAACTTCTTTTAACGCCACTTCTTCAAAATAGACTAGCCCACGCCGTGCTATTTTGTGGAAGACCCACACTCAAGGGGCCAAAGAGCCGCAGTTTGCCGACTACTGAGTTAAGAGAAGATGAGGAAAGGCTTGGAGTTCAAGACAAATCTATTTGTAAGGAGGTTAACAGACGAAAATGTTTAGAGTAGACATTGTTTCCAAATAGTTGCTTTTTTCATCATCTCAAGCCATCACTAAAGAGGCCTCAATAGTATCATTTGGAACATTAAAATGTGCCTTAATTCTGACTGAGAGACCTAATAAGTGGAAGCCTGGAAGGCTGGCTCTTCTAATGGTGGAGGGAAGAAAAGGCAGTACACTGGGAAAGGTTTGCCCTCTCAAGAAGTGTTAGGTCATGTGAAAGTTATCTTCTCTGACTGGCTTAGTTCACTTAGCATAATGCTCAACTACCACATGATCTCACTCATTTATGGAATATAATGAACAACATAAACTGATGAACAAAAACAGATCCAGAGACAGAGAAACATTGATCAGTACACCAAACCTCAGCAGAAAGGTAGGGGAGGGTGGGGGCAAGGGGAAGAGATCAACCAAAGGACTTGTATGCTTGCATATAAGCCTCACCAATGGACACAGACACCACAGGGGTGAGGACATAAGTGGGGATTTGGGGAGGGAATAGGGGGGATAATGACACATATGTAATGCCTTAATCAATAAAGAAGTTTTTAAAAAGGAAGTGTTAGGTCAAAGTGACAGTCAGTATTCTCTGTGAGCAAATTAAAAACCTAAGGCTCAAAATGCAAATGCCTGGTAATAAAAATCTAAGGGCCAACATTGAATGTCTTTTATAATATTGGGAATTGAAAATAACTTCATGTTAAGGTTTGCACCCATGATGTGTATTATACAATTTCTACATAAGTAAACATTTATTACTTATAAAAATAAAATGGTAACTTTTTAATTTTAACACCTGAATAAACCACCCTTCTAGCCAATGGGCCACGTAGGCCTTTCTGTTGCTGTCAACGTTATCCAACTCTGCCGCAAATCTGTCAGGCAAATAACCTGCAAATCAGATCCCTGTTCATGGGAGCCAGCTCAGAATAAGTGAGGTTGCCTTACGTCAGCCTGGAGAGCAGGTAGTGGAGCTCCTCACATAGACTGAAAAATGTTTAATGCAACCCCCTAAAATCTGAGCTTGACTCCTTCTTGTCTCCCAATCTGTCCAGGGCTTCTTTCCTCTTATCCTCCATATCCTACCCACCCAGGCACAGGCCGTAAACTGATTGGGAGTCCTGAGAAGAACTGAGACTTTTCTCTTGTTTGCTTCTAATTAGAAACTGAGGTTGCTTTCCACATACCTGTAAAAGCAATACATTTTATTTATTACTTCAAAAATCTATACCTGTAGGTCATAATCATGAGTGTGCCAAACATCTCGCTTCTGTACCAGAGGAAGTCTTTTAGGATAAACCAGCTCTTGGCCCTCTACTGTAAGGACTGCCTTTTCTAAAAGGAAGCATAAAGGGAAAATACATGTGGCATTAACATGCACCCACGGTGACTGGATAACAGAATTACTCTCATAGAGTTCACTTGCTCCCAATTAGCAGCCGTGTACAACATCACTGTAAGATAGCATCCTCTGCTTTACAAGGAAGGAAATTGAGAGAGATAGTTCCAATGTAGAAAAATGTAAGTAAAACTGGAAAGGAGGCAAAGAAATCAGGGTGCTTCGGCGTCTTCCATCTTTTAACCTAGTTCTACTTTGTCACCTTTGTCATCTGATTCTCCTCATGCCTGTCTCTTGATTCTGCCACCTGTCAAAGCCTCCCTTAAAATGGACAGTTTCAATGCAAATCATTGTTTATATCTCCCAGGGACAGTAGCATTTGAAGTCCTAACTCAAGAAGCTAAATAGAAGGCTTCCCTTGTTAAAGGTTTTAGATACTCTTCAATCAGTGTTAAACAGAATCTACACATTTCCTGTCTCGTTGGTAGTCGTCACACCAAGACCCATGTGGAAGAAAGAGCACAGGACTTTGGAATCTGCTTTTTTATTTGAATCAAAGTTTTACCAGCTTATTATCATATGACTATGAGTAGCACACCTAATCTCTCTGATTTCCTTATCTGCAAGTGGAGATGATAATATAAAAGTTTAAACATGCTCATATACAAAGTGGCTCCTGGCTAACACAGTGACTGCTGCATTACAAATATTCAGCTCACTCCTGCCTCCTTGGCCCCTGTAACTCAGGCTATTTAAGAGCGACATGGCATTTCATAGAATCATAGAATCTCAAGATTAGCTCTAATGTAGTCCAAAACCTATGCTGTGTTCCCGGCAAAACCATCAAGGGATATTAATGTTTTTATTGTTTGCATTTAAACATTGTGATTAAAGAGACATTATCACATTGTACAATAAGAAAACCCAGATGAAAAAATTAAGACATACCTTTAAACTGAGAAGTGAATAAAATCATGAAAATTAAACTCCCGGGAAGCATTCTGAATGACTCTGGTTGAAGAAGAATGCATGTGCTTGAGGAAAATGTGCACAGTTCTTTGTCCTTGCTCCCACAGCAAGGATGCAGGGTCTAAGAGGTAGTTAGACAGTTTTGATCCAGTTCCAGGAAGTGTTCCTTGACCCACATTACACAATTTGTAAGGTGCTTGAGGCTAAAACCTGAAGGTTGGACAGCATGTACTAATTAAAGGCAACCTCTGTGCTGGTGGTACAGGTGGGCTGGGCAGAGATCCCTACCTCACGCCTACTGTAAAGATTCCTAGTGTACTAAAAATTCAAAAAAATATATTCATGTATGCCTCAGGAAAAAAAATGATTGAAGAATGTTACATATGCTTTGGTCAAAGAAGTTCTTTCTATCGATATTCAAAATGTCACATGCAAAAACTTTAAAGGAAAATTTGATATAACAAAATCGATAGAAATATTGAGAACTTTCTAGCTAAATAATGGCCTTTTGAATGCTGTATGAAACACAAGTTAGTAATCTTTATTTTACTTCCACTCTGATAAAAGAACCCAGGGGGGTTATTGGGGGCAACAGGGGGATAAGGAAAAATAACTATATATTTTTAAAAATATATCTTTATCGATTTTTAGAGAGAGAGGGAGAGGAAGAGGGAGGGGAAGAAAGAGAGAGACAGAGAGAGAGAGAGAGAGAGAGAGAGAGAGAGAGAGAGAGAGAGAGAGAGAGGGAGAGAGAGAGAGAGACTATAAGTTACTGCATGCCCTTTAGTGGGAATCAAGCCCATAACTTGGGCATATGTCCTGACTGGGGAATTGAACCAGAAACCTTTTGGTGTATGGGACAACACTCACCCAATTGAGCCACATTTGCCAAGACTATCTTTTTTTTTTTCTTTCTTCCAGTTTTATTGAGATGTAATTGATATACAATTCTGTTTAGGGTGTACAACATAATGATTTAACTTAAATATATTGTGAAATGATTGCTATAATAAGTTAAGTTAACACCATTATCTCATATTCTTTAACAACTTTTCTATATATTACACAGGAGTGTTTACTACAGTCACTATGCTATCCTTATCTGTAAGTGGAGGTTACATTCCTTATTTATCTTATTACTGTACCTTTTGACCACCTTCCTCTAAACTTACTCATGAAAACTTATTTATGCTATCAATTTCAAATTAATTAAAACTAAAAGACAGACAAAACTCTATAAATGCATGCAACATCTATATCCTATATAATAAAACCCTAATATGCAATTCAACTGAACAGCAGAACGACTGGTCACTGTGATGCGCACTGACCACAAGGGGGTATATGATTAATGCAGGAGCTGCCCCCTGGTGGTTAGTATGCTCCCACAAGGGGAGCACTGCTTAGTCAGACGCTGGGCAAATGGCTGGCACCTCCACTGTATGGGGCAGTAAGGAGCAAGGGGTCCCAGAATGCAAGAGGGCACAAACGGGACTGAGGGACCTACTCTTTGAATTCATGCACCAGGCCTCTAGTATATATATAAAAAGCTAATATGCAAAGTATCTCCTCGGGTGTTCAACCAGGAGACCAGGAGTTTGATTGCTTGCTGTGACGTGCACTGACCACAAGAGGGCAGCATGGAATGAAGGAAGACCCTGGCTGCAGCCAGAAGGCCTCAATGGACCCTGATTGCCAGCCAGACCTAGGGACCCTAAATGGGCATGAGTTTCATGCACCAGGCCTCTAGTATATAATAAAAATTGAGGGTAAATGATCCTATAATATAGAACTTCTTCAAATCAATGAAAAAAACAAACAAAACACACCAACAATCATTAATAGGTAAATGTGTAAAGGACCTGTGCAAAACTATATGTCTGTGTTCTTTTATTATATTAGAAGAGATATTCATTTGCCAATACAATTCTTTATCTGTGTGTGTGATTCTATCCTGTTTCACATTATTGATTATCCTTATAGCAATTCCAAAAACATAGCCAGTCTATGACATTTGAAAACTTTGATAAGTTTAAATAAGCTCGTCTTTCCCTTTCAAAATATCCTACTGTCAATCCTATATTCTATAAGCACCTACCATTATCTTTTTTAATTCCTTTTTCAGCTACACTTCTCACAAAGTTTATATAACTTTTAGTAACTTTCTTATCTACAGTTCATCCTAACACATTAAACTCAGGCATTTGCCTTTATGATTGTACTGATATAGCTGCCTATCTCCAAGGAATTCACAATTGTTACATCTGATGGATATTTTGGTTCCTCATCTTACTTGCCCTCTCAGCAATATTTGGCACCAATGACCAAACCATTTCCTTTGAAATATTACATTTAACTTCCTAGGAAAAAAAACAAAACAACAACAATGAAGCCTAAAACAGATTTCTATATCAAAGGGGCTCTGTGAGTCTGAATGTCAGACATTAAAAAATTTTTAAATTTAGCCGGGACCGGTTTGGCTCAATGGATAGAGCATCGGCTTGGGGACTGAAGGGTCCCGGGTTCAATTCCAGTCAAGGGCATGTACCTTGGTTGCGGGCAGATCCCCAGTAGGGGGTGTGCAAGAGGCAGCTGATCAATGACTCTCATCGATGTTTCTAACTCTCTATCTCTCTCCTTTCCTCTCTGTACAAAATCAATAAAATATATTTAAAAGATAAAAGTAAAAATAAAAAAAATAAAAAAAAATAAAAAATTTTAAATTTAATTTTTGCTGAATTTATTTGAGTGACATTGGTTAATAAATTATATAGGTTTCAGGTATACAATTCTATAACACACCAGCGGTATATTGTATTTTATGTTCACCACTGCAGATCATAAAGTTTACATAAGTATGGAGATGTTTTGTTTCCTTATTTCTCTGCTGCAAATCAATGAAGCAACCTCTCATAAGATGCTAATCTACTCCCATCTTTGTTTCCTTTGAGGTTGTAGATTCTCAAATTCATTACTTATTGCCACTAGGATTGGTTCTTTACATAATAATCAATCGGAGTATTTTTCTTGGAGGCCCATAGGCAGAGCTTGTGACCCCTTTTGATCTATCTCACAATCCAGATACCCCTAGGGCAGTGGTCTGCAAACTGCGGCTTGCAAGCCACATGCAGCTCTTTGGCCCCTTGAGTTTTTAGCAAAGGCCAGTTTGTAGCCTAAGTTAATAACAATGTACCTACCTATATAGTTTAAGTTTAAAAAATTTGGCTTTCAAAAGAAATTTCAATTTTCGTACTGTCAATATTTGGCACTGTTGACTAATGAGTTTGTGGACCACTGCCCTAGGGCTTGCTCTCCTGAGCTCTCTCCTCCCCTTTTTCCTTCAATTCTGCTCCCTCTCTTTGTCTAGTGCAACTTGGCAAGCAACCCCACAACTGTGAAAGCATAGGAAGGATGGCAAATGACAGAGATGATCTAAATCAGAAATAAGAAGCAGCCCACTCTACAGACCCAAAATGCTTATCCTTATACCACCTTTGTAAAGAGAAACATGAAGAAAAAAGGAGATAAATTCAAGTAAATAAAGATGAACAATAATATCTTACTCAAACTAAAGCTTCACATAAACAAGAAATTAACATTTTTCTATTTGATTTTAAAAGAAATATCATTATAATGTACTCCAAAACCATATTAATCAATGGGAACTTGTAATTCTCTTTGTGGAAGCTAATTTCAACCCATGAATTATGCTGTAGGTGCATTGAAGAGAACATTCAATTCAGAGTCAGGAGCTCTCTGTTCTTTTGTGATTAATTCTGCCTCCTCTGGCAAATTATTTATTTTCTGGGTCCCCGAGTCTTATTTATAAGTTAGGACTTTTAAACTATTTGATCCTCAAGGACATAATTTTAACACCAGGATGCTATGCTGCCTTGCTTTTACTGATTTCTTCCCCTTTTCAAAGACCTTCCTCATTGATCTGGAGCTTTTATCCCCATCATACTTTGCATTTCTAACCACAGATTTGTCTATTAATATGCACAGTAAATGTCATGCAATAAATAAAAGTGTCATAAAAGATCAACTCACTCTGCCACCCAAATGGACAAAGTTATTTCTGGGGAATGGCAGACCCAGAGTAAATAGAGTGTATATAAATTTTACCTCTTAATTCTGATAATCCTATGACTTAGCTAATGACATTGAACAAATTACTTAATATTCCTAGAGTTTTTATTTCCTCGTGGAAAACTAGAATAGTACTTTGTACATAAGAATCCTGTGCAGGTTAAGTGTGATAATGAAAAATTCATAACTCATATCTCTCTCTCAATGTTGTTGAATGACTGACATTATTTTCCACCTTCAACTTAACTTTTTCATAAGATCTTTATAAAATACACTAAATTTTATAAGGTCAAAATGGTTTAAACAAAATAGACTTAAAGTCAAATGGTGTCAGAATATCAAATAAAATGCAACATAATTAGATTTTCCCTTATTGGATAAGTAGGGCCAAGGTGATAGAATTTTTAATTCTATTCATACAATTATGTCACCCCTTCTCTGCACCCTTCAACAAGCTATAATTTTCTTCATCTTTAACCAAATTATAGTAACTCTCTTGACCTTGCATGCCCATTCAGCAACCACAATATTTCTGTGGTTCCTTTATAACAAGGTCCTCTCCAAGAGTTATCTATAGTCTTTGACCCTAGTGCTTCATTCTCTCTTTAATCCACTCCAGTCACAAACAAGAGACAATCTCTTTTCTCCCCATCTCTTTACTGAAATTACTCATCAAGGTCACGACCCTCTGTAGATTTTTAATTCAATGCTTAATTCTTAGTCCTGATTTTATTTCTCTGCCATGTTTGACTTGTTATTTGACCCTGGCTTTTTAGATACATGTTTCTTACTTGACTTCCAGCCCTACTGTTTCTCTCTCATTAGCTGCTTTTTCTTACTTGAAGTTCTTCACTCATTTTTCCTCATTTTATAGGCCTGCAAACAGCAGAGGGCCCAGGTCTCATTCTTTGAACTTACTCTCTTTTCAGTCTTATTCCCTTGGAGATCTTACCATATCACGTGATTAAAAAATGACTGTTCTGCTGTTGATTGCCAAATTCATAGGTCCCAGAAATATTTTTTCCCCTTCAGTTGTCTACTTGGCATTTTCATTTTGATGTCTGGTGGGCATCACAAATTAAATATATACAAAAACAAAACTCCCGATCTTCATCCTTAAAACTGCCCCTCCAAATGTCTTGCTCATCTCAGGAAATGACAATGCTGTCCATCAGTATAGCTATTGAAGCCAAAGATCAGGGGGTGGTCCTGGCACTCTCTTTCTCCCCCACTCCCACACAAGCTGTCAGGAGATATTGTGGATTTTTCCTTCAGAATAGACCCAGAATCTAACCTCCTTTCCTGTTCACCACTTCCACTCTGACAAAAGTCCCTAATCTGTCTCACCTCTATTAGTACGACTTTCTGATAAGTGGTTTTACTCTACTTTGCTTCTCCTTCATAGTTTATTTTCTAAAAGTAATAAGCCATACTTTTAAGATGGAAGCAATGCTGTGTCATTCCTTTCTTTAAAATATTCCAATGGCTACCATCTTACTGAATAGAAGCTAAATTCCTCATAATGATTCCACACTATCTGGCACCCTGTACCTCTTGCACCTCATTCCCTCCTCTTCCCTTCAGCTCTCTTCAGCCACTCTGTCCTTCTTGTTTCCAGAAGAAACATGCCAGCATGCTGTCTTCAACTTCAGGTCTCCTCCCTCACCTTTCTTAGTTCTTTTCTCAAATACATTTTTTTTTTCATTAACATCTACTATGTACACTCCATTTTATTTTATTTTAAATATATTTTTGTTGGCTTCAGAGAGGAAGGGAGATGGAGAAAGATATAGAAACATCAATGATCAGAAAGAGTCATTGATCAGCTGCCTCTAATATTCCCCCCACTGGGGATCTAGTCTGCAACCCAGGTATGTGCTCTGATTGGGAATTGAACCATGACCTTCTATAGTTCCTAGGTCGACACTCAACCACTGAGTCTTGCCAGGTGAGCTGCAAATCCCTTCATGCAGTACACCTGCACTCTCCTTATTGCCTTTCCCATTTGGCCAATGAAGACTAAGCACCTGGCCAATGAAGAGTTTTACTTAAGTATTTGTTTTTCATCTGTCTACTTGCACAGAATGTAATCTAGATAATGTTGTCTGTTGTTCAGTGTTATGTCCCCAATATCTAGAATTGCACCTCCCACAAAGAAGACTCTTGATAAATGCTTTTAATGGAAATTAAGCATTTTTAAGAATATTGTCCTTACAGTGTATATATATGTTAGAGGCCCAATGCATGAAATTCATGCAAGAGTAGGCCTTCCTTTCCCCAGCTGCTGACATTGGCTTCCTTCTGGCACCTGGGACCTAAGATGGCTTCCCTCCAGTTGCCCACAAGCACCCAGGACCCAGGCTTCTCTCTCTCCCAGGCTTTGTCTGGAAAGATGTCTGGAATGATGTACTAATGGATGTCTGGTCTAATTAGCATATTACCCTTTTATTATTATAGATTTTTAAGAAACTAGTATTATCAATGGATGTCTGAGACTCTTCCCTCTTCTGTCTTTCTGAAGGGGATACTCTAGACCACATGTGTCAAACACAAGGCCCGCGGTCCAAATCCGTCCCTCCAGGCCTTGCAATGTGGCCCGCACCGTGCTGTCATCACTGCACTCCGCTGCGTTTCCATCACAATGACAGTTTATGACTGTTCAGTAAACCATTCGGCCCGCGATTTAGGCTGGATTTTAGATTTTGGCCCCTTCTCTGATTGAGTTCGACACCCCTACTCTAGACACATGGTGGCCAAGTATAAGAATAAATAACTTATGTCCATACACTTTTTGCAAAATATTTTAAGATTTGCAACAACAACAAAAGCAGGAACTGATCATTTGCTTGGTTGGCCTGCTCGGTTCTTGGTGTCCTTGCTCCTTTTATCAGAACCCTGTGTGAGTTCTCCCACATAGCTGATTCACCTTTCATCTTCCTCCAGATTCAGCTGAAATACCTTTTATAGGGTTGATTGAACAGAACTTAGAGTCAGTCTTTGATGGCTTACTCATATTCTTTATTTCATGCCACCCTCTCCTCCAACTTTACAAGTACAATAAGTCACTTTCTGAGGTGAAGGGTCATCTCCTATCCAGCTTTCCTGAACCCACACATCTCATGCCACATTCTTCATGATACCCACCATAAAACAGCTGTTCCTTCCTTTCCCTGATTCCTAATACTCTGCCTACCGCTGCCCCGCAGTGTACCTGTCAGTGTGTGAGAAACTTTGAGCGAGTTTTCTCTCTTTTGTTTGCTTACTTTTGTAGACTAGATATAGTGAAGTCTACTGTATTTGGTAAGTTTGTTTAGATCTCAGTTAAATGATATAAATTAAGTCCCATGCCCTCCATCTGTTACTTCTTTCAAATACTTGCAATGCCAGGAGGTATTAGAAAAATTTTCAGCATATCTTCTCAAATATGTGCAACCCCTTTGAAGACAGAGACCATGGCTAACATTCACATGTTCCCTGCAAGGTCTAACAACTCCAGGCCTTGTACACTGTTGGGACTCAATACATAGTAAATCAAGAAGATTAATTTATTATAACTTTATTGCTGCATTCAGTTTTCAGAGTAGATGGTAAACATTATAAATGTATTGTGATTGCAAATGGTTCCTCTACCATTCTACGCTTTCTGAAAATTCAATCTTCTCTGGGTCTTTGTATATCTAACATAAGGTTCCTCAAAGGCCCCAGAGTTACCTGTGACAAACAGCTAGGCAAAGCCATCAAATACCAGGAGCCAAGATTGTATTATTATTTCTAATAGATTGGACATCCATCGTGCCTTTTTTCTGAAACTAGGAATGAATGAGATAGTATCTCTCTAGCTTGCCCAATGCTTTGTCCCCTAGTCATTCCTTCCGGCACAGCGAGATCTCTGTGTGCCTGTACTAAGCACTCCATTAATCATGGGCAGAGGCTGGGCATGGCTCCCAAGCCTGTGCCAGAAAATTCCCACAGCAAGGCTGACTCCTCACAAAGACAAAGTTAAGGACGTGATGTTGGCCCTCAGATATCCCTTTCCTCGGAATGCACGATTTTAAAGCAGGCTCTAAATTAGCCCTATTATCTAATGATGAAATAAAATGGACACCCTAAGCACTCACTGTATTAGGCAATTGCTCATAAATCTCTAACAATATGTGTAGTTATACTTTTGACTCCTCCAAAACTTAACTACATCAGTGGTCCTCCTGGGTATCTATGAGGAGATGGGTTCTAGGTCTCCCCAGAAGAAATACAAAAATTTCAGGATGCTCAGGTCCCCTATATAAAATGGCAACTATCAATGTATATAATTGGCCCTCCACATCTGCATGCTTCCAACTATGGATCAAAATGGTATAAATGTTTATTTTTTAAATTCAAGTGTAATTGGACCCACATAGTTCAACCAATGTTACTCAAGGGTCAGCTGTATTCACGTAAATAGGACAAAAATTATATATATATATATATATATATATATATATATATATATATATATATATATGTGTGTGTGTGTGTGTGTGTGTGTGTGTGTGTGTGTGTATATATATGTATATATATATAATATTTAGATGTTAATTAAATGATGAGATTTATCCATAGGTATGAACTCTATAGTAGAGTATTGTATGAATTAAAATAAAAGTGTTGAAAAACAATTTAGATGAAGTCAGCTCACATCTTAAACTGGGTGCTCAATAGAGATGTGTTTAGCAGTGGAACAGGTTAAAAAGGACTGGGGGGGTGGGGCCGTGCTGTGAGATGAAGCTATCTACTATATCCGAGATGGATGGTATAGAGGTCCATTCGCTAGAGTAAAAAGGTAATTATTTATCCTGAAGACAATGGCCACAAAGCTTTTGAACACAGAAATATTGTGTTAGACTTATTTTTTAATCATATAATCATGTGGATATATGAGATGAATTGGAGTACATGAAGTATATATTAGTCCCTCCCTCTCAATTCTTGGCACAGAACTTGTAAAACTCTTGTAATTTCCCAAGTGACGGGAGAATTTCTTGTTCTAATATTTGCTCTTTGACCCCAGCCTTGACACAGGCCTCTCCAAACCCTTGTAATTCCTGAGTGATGAGAGCACTAGGGGCATCTTTTGTTCTGATGAGGTGATTCTGGTTAGCTCATGGATGGTTCCTGTATGGAGGCCAGTCACCAGAAAGACCAAGCCATGATTATAATCTTGGAACTTTCAGCCCCACACCAGCTTCCTCTAGAGAGCGGAGAAGGGGTGCAAATGGAGTGAATAACTGATTATGTCTACATGAGGAAGCCACCATAAAATCCCAGTGATAGAGGCTTCAGAGAGCTTCAGGTTGGCGAGCACATCCATGTAACAGGGTATGTCAGCACCCCAATTCCACGGTGACAGAAACCCCTGAACTCAGGACCCACCCAGACCTCCTATCTCTCCATCTGACTGTCATCTGTATCCCTTGCCATATTCTTTAATAAAATGGTAAATGTGTTTCCCTGGTTTTGTGAGCTGTTCCAGAAAAGAATCAAATCCAAGGGGAGGGAGGTCATGGGAACCTCTGATTTGTAGCCAATTTTCACAAAAGTCATGAGTGTCCTGGGGACCTACTCTTTGCAACTGGCATCTGGATTGGGACAATCTTGTGGGATTGAGCCCTTAACCTGTGGGATCTGATGCTATTTCCAGGTAGAAACATCAGAACTGAGTTGACTTGTAGGACATCCTTCTGGTGTCACAGAATTGCTAATGTCAGAAAACTTCCTACACATTTGGTGAACAGCAGTGTCAAAACGAAAGTGTTCTGTGTGAAAGTAAGGAGAAGGGCAAGTGAAGAGAACTAAAGTTTTTTTGTTTCCCCCATAT